ATGTATACTGATGCAGTCTTGGAGGAAGGGCATTGGGGTTTTGTTTGGGTTGGTTGGTTGGTTTGTTTGTTTGATAGTTAGTTGTTTTGTTTTTGTTTTTTAAACATCTCCTGTTATGAATCAATTTGAGTTACTTCTTGGTCTCTTAAAGGTTCTGCATAGATAGGGCATGAGAACCACTAATGAAGAGCTGATGGCTTCGTGATATTTTGTTTACTATAATATCACCTTAACATTAAGCAGCTCCCCGGGGGAATTTCTGAAGATTTGGTTGGTCTATAGTGATTTGAATGGAAATATAGTGTGTGTGAATACCTATCTGTGCTCCAGACAGCATGTCTGGAACATGGTGTCTTTCACTGCTCCCTGGGGCCCTTTATCAGTCTGCGCATTCAGAAAATCCTTCTGGTGTCAGCAGTTTCCTCCTGGGGCTTTCAAACAGTATGGTGAGGTGAGGGTCACAACTTCGCTACAGAAGATGTGAAGGAACAAGCAGTGGTCAACTCTTGTCCCCTTGGGTGGTGTGCAGTGGCTGACCCTAGTCACTGTCCCTTTGGGTTTGGATTGGACATTTTTGTCTAGGCCATGCTTTCAGTGTGCAGTTGTAAGCCTGACAAATGTAGGGTTGGAGCTTTCCCACCAGAGAGTTCCCGAATGTTCAAACCTAGAAGCTTCCACTGTATTTTCCTTGGTCATGGTAAGAGATTTTACTCTCTGTTGTATTTCAGCTCAGCAGAGTTCTGCAGGGACTTTCTGAACTGACATATCTGCTCTTTTTTCCGCCTCCTTGCTATTTTTGAGTATTAGGTTGTAGATTTTTCTTTTCATGTAGATCTTTTTAGAACCACTGTTCAATTCTTTCTGAAGTCTTAAGCTTACTGAAGTTGAAAATGTGTTTTACATGCTGGTGGATTTGTTTAGCTTGTTATATTCTGCATTAAAACAAATATTGAAGTGCTACCCATTCTTTTGTCCTTGCAGGTTACATGATCCTCACTGCTTTCATAACCTATTAGGTTTTCTGTCTGTCAGATAAAACTATTTCCACAGTTCATTATTCTATCTTTCAGTTTCCTTTCCTCAATGTACTGCTGCTTGTTTTTATTAATGTTTTGTTTTACCTGCATGCAGTTCTGTTCTGTGCTCTTTGCTATTTCAGGATGACTTCAAAAGACATAGCTGAAGAAATGTATCTACATGATAACTTCTGATATGTAATTCTGTTCTAGTCCTCATAAATTATTGAAATAAAGTAAATATTTTAGCGCACATTTTCCTACAGCAGGCATAAGTCTTTACTCCCTACCCCTTCCTGAGCTTAGGGAGAAAACCTGTTGATAATGCTTTGCAATACATCTTGCAAGTCTCTTTTAACATTTTTTTGTCATGATTTAAAGGGTATAAAGAGATAATATTTTGAATATTTCTGATTTTATTTTTTTACAAAAGAAAGCAATGAAAAAGGCTTGACTGTACAATGAATAGTCTCCTGTTTGTTTGCAAGAATTGCCCCAAATTTATGAGTTTAAGAAAATGATCATAAAATTCACACATGCTGTTAGCTTGTGATAGATTGCCTTCTGAATTAGTTGAATCTGTCATACAAGTGTATTTCTCAAAGTAATGAGTTTATTACAATTCAAAATACATTAATGATGTTTCTTAAAAAGCAGCTGTTTATGCATTGGTACCCATTTTCCCACCTCAACATGATGTTGACTTGGTATTATAGTACCTCTTGTTCAGGTTAACAAGTTTCCCAGCCCTGTTTCTCTTAAAATGTTTGAGCAGGTTTGTTTGTTTTGTTTTGTTTTTTTTTCCCCAAAATTGCTACCCCACCCCCAAATACAAAGCTAACTAAGCAGTGGTTTCTATGTGGCTGTATTATGTCTTCCATCACTGATGATTAGAGGAATCATCAAGAATTGTATTTGGTATGTACTACAGCAATGGATCTTTGTGGTTTCTGTGAAGTCCAGCATTTGGACTATAATTATGGAAGATATGATTGCTCCAGCTTCTCTTTTTAAGGCTTTTCTTTTATACAACATGTGATGAAAATACTGCAAAATCTTGCTTTAGATTAAGTCAGTGCCTACTCAGGACTTAATACATGTACAGCATTGTGGGCAAAATGCATTTTGCCCACATGACACATCCCTGCTGGTGCCTGTTTCAGGAGTTGGTGGAGTGCTGCCTACCTGGAGGCTGGCCAGGGAGGTGACTTCCATAGCGTTGGGTTCTCGGAGCCCAAGTGCAGCTCACATGAAAAGTGAGTCATGAGGCTTACAGAAGCAGATGAATGAATTGCACTTGGCAGAACATGTAGTAAGTCCATTTTCAACAAATCTAGGTTATGTGAGGGAGCAGGTGAGTTACTGAAAGGTGGCATAATTTGGATAATGGAGATTTAGCCTTTAGACTTGTACATTTTAGGACCAGTTTGACTGGTTAAAGTGCAGAAAAGAAGTACCGTTGTGTAAAATGTGCTGTCAGATGGAAAAAATACAAAGCTGGAAGCAGAGGTCACTTTTCTTCTACTGCATCAGGATGTCGGATTCAATGAAAGGGTTTTAGCATTCAGGTATAAAAGCCCCTTTAAAGGAAATAAAGAGTATTTAATTTTTTTGATGAAAGAGGAGTTTACTAAATTAATTTTTGTTGTTGTTGTTGTTTTGTTTTTGTGTTTTGGTGTTCTTTTTTTTTTTTTTTAGCACCCATAAATCTGATACAACATTTGTGAGACCTTTTGTACAACTACTGAAAATGTAAGGTTGTTAGTAAATCAAGCAAAGATAAACTTTTTGGACTTTTTTTAAGGATAAGAGGGCAATATCTGGATTGTATCGATCTGTGTTTTTACAACACTTAAAGCATACATCTCTTGGCTGATATTATGCATTGACAACAATATAATTGCATTTGAGATGAAAGTATTTGTTGATGTACTTGTAAAAAGCGACAAGTTAATGAAAAATATCCTTTTCTAGTACTAAGACAAATGACTTTACATTAGTCAAGAAAGCTTCTTTCCTAAGCTAATTAGCCTATCTTTATTTAAAGCAGTCTCATCTTGCTTGGCACAGTTTTGGGACTGTGTGCACAAATGTTCTCCTTGCTTGAAGAAGATTGTCACTGGAATGCTGTCAAAGCTGGGAGGGGAAAGAGGTGGAGAAGCAGAAATATAGTTCCTGCCTCCTTTTACTGTGTTTCAGATTCCCAGAGCAGCTGTTGCATGGTTGTGTAGTGGACACTGTCCATGGGGCTGCTGCTGGGATTAACGCTGACACCAGTGATGGACTCCTGTTAATTTAATGCCCTTTCCTTCATGTGAAGCACACCAGCCTTCCTGATTTATCTCTTCCTTCTTCTTGTGTCCCTCACATCCTGTTGATCTGTTTTGCTCACAAGCAGCCCCAGAATGACAGATAAGCTTATGAACTTCTCCATAAGGATGAGAAGGGGACTTTTTCAGTGTTATATATATCCTGATGTGTCAGCTCAAGTGAGAAGTTATAGAGGTTGCCACTGGATTTACCCAAGACCATGCAGCCTGTCATTACCTGAATTAGATTTGCTTGCCTTTACCTTTTCACTTATTTATGAAATTACCTGCTCATTGATGTGTCCAATCTATTCGAAATTAATACATGTTCTAACTTTTTTTTTTTATCTGTCCATATGTTTTTTTCTCTATTTATTCCCTATGTCATAAGCCCAGGATAATGCATTTTTATTATTACTAGTTTCTGTATAATCTTGCCTTAAAAATTTTGTAGAATGGTTCTTATTTTAAAAAAAGAAAGTATAACTGAATTTAAAAACTGTGAGATCCTTAGTCCTTATGGATGAAGGGGCTCCATCTGGATGGAGAAGTGAAACTGTGTAGTAGGAGAAAGCCCAAATCCAGTCTCCATTGGGAATTGTTTTGAGTGATGCAAGTTTGTGTTTTTCTACAGAATGTAGGTTGTTCCTTCAAATTTTTATTTTTTCCGTTCACTATTAGAGCATTTGCATACATTATTATGCAATAGTTAGATTAAAAGAACATTCTGTGCTCATAAAATCTCATTACAGAATTACAGTAACAGCTGAAAGGAATAAGAACAGAGATCCTATTATCTGAGATGCTGTATGTATGATAGCCCTGAGACTGCATTTATTTTGGTGTGGGGACTTCAAAGCACAGGTAGTTCTACTTAAAAGTTGGAGGGAGGATTTGCATTCTGCACTGCCTTCCTGAACTGGGTTTAGAGATAAAAAGCCAATCCTTGCAACTCATTAGCATTTGATCAGATGAAATAACGAAATTATTTATTTGAGGAGAGAATTGTCAGAGAGCGTTATTTTGCTATTATATCTTTTGTTTCTTCATTTAAAAAAAAGGCATAATAAAGGTGCATCCTAACAAGTTAATGCATATGTCAGCAACTTGCTTCAATTGTATAATTATGCAGACTATCTCTTTGTATTGGGATAGCTATCTGAGAAGATAGTAGGCATCATCATTTATCTCTGATATTAAGAAAGCTGAGAATGAAAGAGTCCACAAAACTTTTTAATGTATGTCTGACCCTTAGAGGAAATTTGATGTGTAGTCCAGTTGCAGTGATTGTAATTTGCTCGTTTAGGCCATTGTTGTTAAAAATGTAGCCTATTTCTCATGAATTGGTGGTAAGTCAAATCTTTAATTTCACATACTGGAGTGATAAATTACGACATGTAAAAGCATAGAATTGCATTCAAAATAAATGCTGGCAGTAGCACACAGCAGAATAGTATGTTTGTGCTGCTAGATAAAGTAATAGGAAAAGAGCTCCTGTGCTGTAGTAGTTTCTCTGATGTCACTAGGGTAAATTGATGTGGGTTGAAATTTTTTTTTTTTTTTTTTTTTTTGGAAGAAATCACATGGTTCTTTATTAGAAATAACTACATAACAGTGAAGCTGTATTGTTCTTTTGAAGAGTTCTCTGAATGCCAATTATTTATCTCTTGGTCAGGTACGACTGGTAAGGCATCATCCCCACCACCTGTTATAGACACAAGACAGATGAGTGAGAAGCTGGAGACAATATTATATCAGCTCCGTCAGGTAACTCGAGAGAGGGATGACCTGCGCAAGAGACTTGCACTTTCGTCTCCTGGATCAACTTTTGATGACTGCAGGTAAAAATAAAGGAAGGGTAACATTTTAATTCTCAGTAGTGTTTTTAGGTGTCTTGATTTCTGCTTACCTGTAAAGCAGCAAGGATATTACAATGTATATATGTTGCTTGTAACCTGTTTGAATCCTGGTGATGTGTGTCTATGTAGGTGACCAAGTCCAGGTTTCAGAGCTGCCTGTTGAATGTGGATTCCCACTTCCTTCAGCAATTTTGCTGTGGGAGTGAGGGGAGTAGGGCTTATCTCTATATTGAGATGAAAGCAAACAAGTTGTTCAAGCTTCTTGGGTTATGTTGTGGGAAGAGAAAGAAGACAGCGGCTGAAGCATTTACTGATTTGAAAGCAAGAGAAAAGAAAGGGAAATAGCTCTGAATGCTTGACTGGAGGACAGAAATTAGGAGAGAAAAGATCTCTGCTATTCCTGTGCTTCTGAAACAAGAGAGAGGTTTGGACTTCTTTTGAGGGAAGTAAGATTTTTTTAGGAGTTGCGCTTTCTGAGATAGAGATATAGAAATATATATATCTATAGGGGGACTTTGTAGCAATAACTTGCTGAGAGTAAGGAACTCTCCTCCACTGAGAGGTTATGGATGCTGCCAAATGAGAATAACACATGTCCAAATTCATTTAGTGGCCAGCAACCTTATGCTGCTCATTCTAATTTGAGGGTTGATAAGTTATGAAGAAGATAGTATTTGGAGAGTGTGAGTTAGTCGTAGATCAGGGTTTTGTTGTGTAGAAAACAGAATTGGTTTATTTTAAAGGGTTACAGATCTGTTAATGTTTCTAAGTGTGACTTTGGGCACACTGAGCAGGTGCTTTTTGCCTGTAGTAAGCAGGTGTAAGAGAAATTTTTTGAACCTTGGAAAAAATTGACTGCAACTAATTCTGAAATAAGAGCAAATCATAGATTTTTTTACAAGGTGTTGCTGTGATGCATAGCTTCTCTGAACTTCAATGTTTTACTGTTGTTGTTTGTATGTTACTTCAGTGGCTGTATCTGCGTGTGGTCAGGTGGTTAATTAAACTTTTTGTCCTAAGGAGATAAGGTCAAGATTTGAACCAGTGAACTGTAATTGAGACATTCTGGGCATTTTATTCACTCATTAGCTCATCATCTTAATACCCCCCTTCTTCCCCTCATGAGTTCTGAGGGCTACTTTAAGAGCATTGTGTTCTATCTAAGGCTCTCCAAGCATTGTGGGGACAGGAGAAGAAGAGGTTGTCAAATGTAACTGGAAGCTGTGCAAAAGATGTTGACTTATTTTTACAGGGGGATTTCTTATTTGAAGTCACCATAGCTTGGGCTTTGAGGATTTTATAGTCTGCAGTAATGTTCTCCATAATCCAGAATGCTATTAATAAAGTTCTGATGAGCTGTCCTCTAGACTGCCCTAGTTTTTTCTCTTTAGTTGTGAAATCCATCTACAGAAGGATTATATGTTGTGGGAAATGTAAATGTTTACAGCCTAAAGAACAACTCATCAAAATAAACATTGTATTTGGGTAGTACTTGGACAGTATGTGTTAGAAGGAGGATGTTGCCTTGCAAACAAATATTTGAAGAGTGGGAAATGAATGAAGATTATTAGTTGACATATTTTTCCTTTAGCATAAAAGCAACTACTCCTCCCATCCACATACACATCCACAAAACACAGGGTTTTGAAAGCTTGCTGGATTTTAGTTTGGTTTGTTGTTTTTGTTTTGGGGTTTGGGTTTTTTTAGTTGTTTGTTTGTGTGGGGTTTTTTTTGTTTGTTTGTTTGTTTTTTTTTAAATTGGTTTTGAATTCGTTCCTCATATAAAACTAATCTTCAGCCTTCCAGGCGTCAAAGCCCAGACATCACAAATTGTTATGCTGAAGTGTGAAACCTGAAAGATCATTATTTAGATGGTGGCTTCTACTGCACCAAAAAGGGCTTTTGCTTTCCTGGCTGCATATGCTGCTTTAACCATGGCCATACCAAACACAGCTGGTGTAGAGGCAAATCTTGACATGTCATGATGGCGTGCTTCAGAGCAGTTGAAGCTAGCAGCACATTCGTAGGCTGGGCTGTGCGAGCTGTGAAAGCTGGCAGTTGCAAAACGGAGAGCTGTTTTCAAATCAAGTGTTGACTAAGTCTGGAGCAGTGGAAGAGCAGCCACTGAAGTGAATTGTGATGTGCTGAATCAAATAAACATGTGTCATCCTGCTGGACAGGCGTAGGGTTGCTCATGCTGTATTTGTGTCACTTGACAGTGACTGTATGTGTGCATGTGTTGTGGTGATTCAGCAAAGATTTGCCCAAATGGTTTAGCGTAGTTGAGGTGCACTTTATAGACTTAAACTTGCTATTCTACTGCTTATGTAGTAGAAGAGAACTGCAATATGAATAAAACCCCTGAAAACTGCCTTTGAGAAGAAACTGTTTTATGTGTAACCTGTAGTTGTTGTTGGTGGTGAAATTGCAGTAGTAAATAATAACATTTTCAATTGTTGGATAGGCGTTGCCCACAAAATTGGATCTGTCATTGGCATTAGCTTTTATGGCAGCCCCAGATACATTTAAATGTCAGTCTCACTGTGACCTTGATTTATGCTCAGGGTAATTCCACTGGAGTACAGATTTTGAGTTGCTATTTGAGTATCAGAAAAGCAATTGGACCTTTGACACTAACATTTTAAATTTTATTAATGTTTGAGCCAATTCTTCCAAAATGGTAACTGACACCTCTCCTTTATTGAAATCAGAGTTTTCTCTATCTTGTGAGGCATTTCAGCATAAAACTGTGGTGGTCTTACTTGAACAAGAGTCAACCACCACATGTGAATGAACTGCTTTGTTTTTGACTTCTGATCCATATTGCTCTTGTGTATATCCCTGGTTTTCTTGCTGAAACATAAATCCTTGGAACAGCACTGTAGAACACTTGGCCTTGGCTATCCACGTGTTTTTTATTTCATGTAGTTGAGCTAGAATGCAGGGTGTTACCGGTGGCCTTGTTCTTTCCTCATTGTATAGTTAGGCTAACTTCGATAGTTAAGTACATAGTATCCATATGTTTATAAGATTTTTTTTTTTTTTTTTAATTTTAGAATAGTGCTAGTCTTATTTCAGCAATACATGAAATATATGTGATTCATGTTAGACTTATTCAGCAAGTTCTCACCATAGTTTCAAGACTGACCTAATAGTTATCCTTTAGTAAAAATTCATACACTGAAATATTTTGCACGATTATGAATTCACGATTATAAGCGTAATATGAACATGTGTTAATGGGTCACAGTAAGCTTAACTAACTGAGAGTTAAACTGTGCTTCAAGTAATGTTGTCATTTTAATGACTGTGGTGGACAGATGGTGTCTACTTTCAGTAATTTCACCCTGAAGTCTAATTTAAATCAATACTTGGGTTTTTAGTAATTTTGTCAAAGGTGTGAACATTTCAAATTGAGTTTCACTTATGCTGGCTAGTCTTGTATTTTAAAAGAATAACACTGCAGTAGTTGTGGTAATATGTCCATAGCACTATATGAATAATGTACTACTTCTTTTGGCACCCCCAAACAGTGAATAAAAAAAAAAAAAAAACAACACTCTAAAAGACATCCTTGTGGATGTGACTTGAATATTTGGTTACTTTTATATGAGTTTGACTTTTAATTATTGCTAAAGTCTGTCAGTCAAGGAAGGGGTTTTTTGGTTTTGTTTTCCCCAGGAGCATTTCTCTCTTGAAGAAGAAAAAGAGGAATTACAATTCAAGGCCTTACTAGTCAGCAATCCAAATGCAACTGGGTTGCTAAAAAGCAACTTCATATCATACACACACTCCCTAAAAGTCCGTGAATCAGATGTGACTGGCGTTTCTGTTTTTTTTTTTTTTTTTTTTTTTTTTTTTTTCTTTTTAACAACTCTCACCACGGCAGTAGTGCGAAGCTGTCTTCATTTTGATTCTATTGCCAGCTGCATTTCAGTTCCAGTATCCATGTTGCTGGTTTTGTATGAAGCAAAGAGAATTCTGATTGCTTTTCAGGCTGCACTTAGAGTGAAGCCTTTTGGGAGGGAATGAGATGGGAGGGAGAAAGGGTGATCTGTGCAGCGACAGAGCAAATCTGATACGAGAATAAACAGAATTAAATTAGAAAGCAGTTGTTTTATTTTTGTTGGGTTGGTCGGTTTGTTTGTTTGTTTTGGGGTTGTTTGTTTTTTTTCTTTTCCATTGCCAGTGACACAGAGATGACACAGGGACAATGGTTAGAAGCTTCATTTTGAAATGAGAATTCAACAGTGCAAAAATTTTGTGACTTTGTAGAGGAGGAACAGTTCAATTTAGTCTCTTGTAGAAGCTTAGTTCTTCAAAACCATACATTTTAGACATAATTTATTCTGGTCATTTTCTTGACAAGGTAAATTATTTTAGAGAATTTCTCCTCTCCTAATCATTGTGATATACAAAAAAAAAAAAAAAATCAGTCAAAAATTTTCTTTTGACCGACTTTGGCTTTCACTTTGTACAGCTCACTGAAAATTGCTTATTTGAGATCATATTGTGTTGGAGATTCCTAATAATTATTTGAACAAAATTTGAGTTATCTTATGGAAATGTGAGGTAGGTTCTGACATGTTTTCTCATTCATTTACAATACTGTAAAAGAACATGGTAACAGTCATTTATGTAATTCAGCAATACGTCTTGATCAAATTATTTAAATTCAATGCTTGATTAGTGAAACTGATCAAATTCTGCCAGCACAGAGACATGCTTTTGGTGTCCCACTGGAAGTCTTTCTCTCAACCTAACACGGGGAGCTTTTCCTAGGAAGCTGTAGACAAGGTCCTCCGGCCACTGCCTAGATGTGAAGTTTTTCCTAGCCCAGGTCTCCATGAACTCCCACTTGATTTTGGCAGCCTCTCTTCAGCCCCACTCTCACTGCAGCTCTGTGATTTTTCTTTGACAGTTTTGATGTGGTAGCACAGGAAAGCTGGGTGTACTGTGATTGGCTTGTTCTTGTATCGGGCGACAGTTCTGTTCTGTGATAGTACTGCTGCTCATGAGAGGTACATGCATGCACAGTACTATTTGGCTGTGTTAGTGATAGAATTATTTCATTATTAGATGTTATGTCTCAGTATAAAACTAATGCAAGTTCAAGTCAGTGGATTTTTATTTGTGATTGCATCTTAACACAGTGGTGAGTATTTAAATAAAAGCATACTGTAACCTAAGTATCAACAGTTGTGTGATAATGTTTTTTTTACTGGATAGTCATTTCCCAGACTTTTAATTTGCTTTAATAGCTGAAGTTTGACTTCACATTCTTTTTCCATGCTAGGCCTAGTCCAAAACCAAATCATGATTATGAAAGACTGAAGATTCAGTGCATGAAGGCCATGTCAGATCTACAGTCTCTGCAGAATCAACACACCAAGACACTAAAAAGGTGTGAAGAAGCAGCAAAAGAAGCAGATTTTTATCAGTAAGTATTAGTAAAGCTGTACGAGGTAAGAGTTTACCAGTCTGTGCTAGATTATAAAGTATTAGAACATGGTAATCAAATAATTTTTTAATTCAGTTTTTCTACTTTAATTGGAAGATTGTTTGCCTGCATCAGTTAAATCATTTCTGGCCTATTGGAAATGATAAAGAATGGATTGCTTGTTTTACTTTGAGGAGTTGGAGATAAAAATCCCTGATGTCTTGATGGGACACTGATAGGGAAAGCCTAGTTACTGACTTGCGGTTACAATGACATAGTCTTACTGTCAGGCTGGAGAGGAGAATATAATTTGAGAGAATGTCATGTCTTACTATTTTAATAGGTTGTGACAGCTCTCATGCTGATCTGTGTGAGTTTTAACACAGATTTAGAGCAATTATAAGTGTTTATGAAAATGCAATAAAATAGGGAGAAAATGGTGAATATTTCTAGGATGTGTTTCTGTTTAAAAATCAGTTGTTGATGCAAGTAGGGACGTGTTTTCTTCACTTGAAAGGAAGATAGCTCAGAAATAGAAATGCAGATAAACTCTTGGTTTGAGGTTTATTTCATTTAAATCTATACTGTGAAGTATTACTGGTATTTGATGACAGCATTTGTTTTTGTTGGGGGCTGCTAGTTCTAACATAGCACTTTGACCTACAACTTTTCAAGCCTTTAAAGATAGGAATTGTTTCCTTAAATTCTTCTTTCAAAACCTGAAAACAGTAGTAAAAGTTGTCAACAGGTGCAGTTGTGTGGCTTTTATACAAAGAGCTTTATTCCTAGTTTCATTTGAGGATTTTAAAGTACTTTAATTTGCTAGGGAGTTCTGTGCAAAGCATTAGTGCTCTGTACATTTTAGATGGATTTTTTTCAGAACTAAATTACCTATATCCATCCAATGCTGACGTGAAACACTTGTATTCTTTATCCTAAAAACATGAAGATCTATAGTCCATGAATACTGTGTTACACTCCGTTTATTTCAGTATTTTCATAATAGTATAAAAGGATTTACTCTCTCATATCAGAAGAAAAGCTCTGAGTTTTAAAAGACAGTGAGTGAAATATTCAAGTATAACGAGAAGATAGTCATATTCCTCAGAGGCGAACAATTTAGGCTTCTGCAGAATGATGCATATATACAAGCTTTTGTATTTGCATTTACTACAAAGATTATCTGGTCAGAAGAAAGTATAGCAGATTTTAATTGATTCAGAGGTAATCATTTTTACTGTAAGACTTTATTCACTTGGATTTGGAGAATTGAATTTCTTACTTATAAATTCAGGGAGGCTGAAACTCACTGTTGGAGTTCAGGTGCCCAAAACATGACAATACTTGTTGAAATCCATGCCTGCAATTCCTGTTCATCCTGTGAGTAATTCTCAGGGTAAAGAAAGTATTTGGGTAGAATAGGTTATTCAAATGTTAACTTTCTTGAAGTAATTCTTAAAACCCTAAGCTTGCCTTTTTTTTTTTTTTTTTTTTTTTAAAAAAAAGGTACCTTTCTGATGAATAACAGATAGCAGATGAATAACCTACATGTAAAGATTACGTGTGTTCAGTTGTTCAATTGTGTGAATACAATTTGTCAAATGCACTTTTTTCAGCAAGTTGTTCTAATTTTAAGGAAACTGTTTTAATGCTTTTGGTCGTTCTGTGCAGGAAATGTTGGTATTTCACTTCATAAGGAAGGAATACCAAGTATCCTAAACTGCAAATTTGCTCTGTTCATTGCTGTGTGTTATATGGTGTTTGTTTGGTTTGTTTTGTTTTTTTTTAAATAAATACGGACTTTAAACATTTTACTAGCAGGTGTGAGAGTTCAGTTTGAGTCATTGATTTGAACACTGACAAGTATTTTCATTGTTCACAGTCATGCTATTTGATCTGCAGTAGTAAAATACATTCGATTGATTTTTCTGCTCTTCTTCAGCAGTGGTCAGGTCTAATTTTGGACTGCTACCTTGAATTATCTGAGTGATAGCCTCCTCATGTGGCTCTTAGTTGTTAAATTTTTAAGTGAGAGTGTATTTCAATAACTATGGCTTGCATAATGAAATTTGGAGTAACTGTCATAGCTTTTTACCTGCTTGAGTGTAATTGAAACATAAGGTGGTTTTGTTGGTTGTGGGTTTTTTTTTTGCTTGTTTTGAAAACAATAGCATAAGAGGGAATTTTTTTGTTGTTTTCATCTGTATCTTGGTTAGCTGCTGCTCAGCTGAGGGGCCCAAAATAAAGTGGAGGTGATTAGTGGGACAATGCCTGTTATCTCCAGGATCAACTTATGCTTGCATTACAGCATTTCTGTTTATCTGCTTGCTTTTAAAATTACTGTGAAATGGCATTGATAGGTGGCATAAATCCATCATCGCTCCTGATTAGGTTTGAGTCCTGTGTACGTTCACATATCTTCATACTTAGGTTCCTGTTTGTTTCTGATTTATTTTTTTTTTCCTGATGCTTGAAACATTCAAATATGCAGAACTCAGTTAGTTTGACCTGCTTTCCTGGTAGGAGACTCATGCTTGAAATGTATTAGTTGAGGACTTCTTTTCTGGCAAGTTGGCCTCTAAGAGCATTTTTGTGTGCTGTGGCAGCACGTTGCACAGTCGGCTGCTGAGTGACCAGTCACAGCTGAAGGAGGACATGGATACCTTGAAGAGGAAGAACACGCAGTTGGTGCGAGAACATAATCATCTCCAGCAGTCATGTGAGGAAATGAAGAGACTTCACGATGAGGATCAGAAAGAGATAACAGACCTGCGCAGCCAGCAGCAGCAGGTAAGCTACAGCTTGTAGTGTACATGCTAGAAGAGATCGTGAATTGTTCCTTTGATAAAGAAGTCAATAAAACTAAATGTGCAGTGTTCCTGACTTTTATGTATTACTGATTCTAAAACACCTGCCTTATATTTTACAGCACTAGGGGAGAAAACGAGATCTGGGATATTAAGTTATTTTCTGTGTCTAGCTGGGAAAAAAAACGAGGGATATAGAATATTAGGCAATATTAAGAGATTTTGGTGCAGCGATGAAAAAAATGTTCATAAGGAAGATTGTATATACATGATAGTTTAAGTGGGTGGAGAGGCATCAAAAACTTATCTTGAAGTTGCAAAGTAATTAAAAAAATTACTATTTTCTGAGGATATTTTATGGGACAGAGCTAGCTTTAAACTTGCATACAATGTTTGTTTTTTGGAAAGAATCACAATAAAAAAAAATAAGTGGCAGAAATTAGTTTGGTTTGGTTTAGTTTTCTTTTTTAAACTTATTCTAGTGATGCCATAAAGATTAGAGGGATGGGCGAGCTAAGGTTGGTTGTTTAGGTTTACAGATGCTATTCACTTAGAACAAAGCTACAAGTTGATGAATGTTTTGTAACTTGAAACAAAAAAAGACAAGCTTTTCAGGATTCTGAGGTGGACATTTCAGAACTGTATATAACAGGCTGTCTCCAGACCACAGTTGTTCACACATTCTGGAGAAAGAAAAGTAAGAGTTATAGTGAGGAGGTCATATTGAGTTCATGGTTCACCTGTGGAAATGTCTGATCATTTAGTTAGAATAGTTACAGCAACGTGTGGAATGGTTAAACGGAGTATCTTGGTTAACTGTGTTTAGGCTGATTCACAGGGCAAACTTGCAAATTAAACATTAGGCTTCAGAAACAAAACCTATGCAAACAAAAATAATTATTTGCTAGGGTAGGGGGGGCAAAGGTCAAAGCAAGCTGAATGGTGCCTTAGGAGGTCCTCGAGGGCTAGTGTTAAGAGAACTGAAGATTTGTATTTCCTTTTGATCCTGTCTTGAGAGTTCTGCTGTGAAATGGTCCGGTGGCTTGGTTCAGAAGATAGCAGAAATGGTTTGCTGTGTAAACTTGGGGAAATCGCTTAATTGTTCTGTGCCTTTGTTTCTCAGTCTGCAAAGCAGGGATGTAAAACCTTCAAGAGACAACTACTGTATTTTGAGGTTCTGTCCTGAAGTTTGAAATTATCTGGCAGCACAGGAGGAGGCTGAAGTATCAGTGTTTGTTTAAAGAAATTCAGTCTCATGTCAACACCATGATTAAATCTTTAAAGAAAACTATTTCTGTGACTCTCGGTGAGAAAGTTGTGCAACTCCATTTCTCTGCATGTCGGAGTGAATCATGGTGTCTTGAAAGGGTGCCAAAAGTCTTATCTTGTCTGTGTCATTTCTCATCTGAATTAGTCAAATGCTGTTTTGATCCCTCTGTCATCAGGCTGTAGCTAAACACAACATCTTTGTGTCCTCAGAGAGCAAAAACTTTTGATCGGGTTACTCTATTTGTGGGATTGTCATGGATTTGCTGTATAGCAGCTGACCACCTTAAGTTTCTGCTGCTCACATGTGAAGTTTCTTGTTTCTATGGCTGTCTTCCTTGGTCCAGCTGGGACTATTTACTTTTTCTCAGATTGGGATTTTGATTGGGACGCTTTCATATTACACTGCTTCCTGGTCATGGCCTTTCTGTCTTCCTCTGTCAAATCTCTGTTAGCAAGTTTATGCTGAATTCCATGCAATTTCTAGTACATTCATCATTTTTTTCTTGAATTATTTAGTGTGTTTTCAGCAAAAAGACATTCCATATATGCTTTAGACAGTGAGAAGTTGTTGGTTTCTGTTTGGATTCTCAAATACTTGGTTATCAAACCTGTTCTCAGAATGCTTTGGGAAGCAGTCTTCAGGAAAATGGCTCTCTTAAGTGGGTTTAAATCAACATGTATTTACAGGTTACATATGCTTCCAGTTTATCACATGTTTAGCTAATCTGAAATGGTTCACTGAAGCATGCTCACTACTTGTGGGTCCAACTCTGCATGGGTTATGCTGCTGAATCCACTGAGGATAGGATGTCTGTGGAAGTACCTGTGCCAGTGAGACTCTTGCCAAAGTGCAGCCTTGTTCTAGGACCACTTTAAGAACAGTAACTCACTGTTTTTACATACCTTGGTTAGTTAAATGAGACCAGTGTCAGGCTGAACAACTTTCTTATCTTGCCTGTGTAGAGAAATGGTTTCTTGACACTGATGGTTGTTATCCTATGGGCAATGAGTAGTAGTCAAAGAACAGGCAGTTTCTTTTGGTCTGCAGGCATCCAGGTTCTTCCATGTTCAGGACTGGTCATTACTCTGAATATAAGACACAAAAGAAGATGAGGAGCCAATTCATGCATGTAAGGTAGCTGCTATGTGTTTGGTTTCAACTTTTTATAGAGTTCATATTTTATGTCTTTTTTTCTTCAAATTTTTTAATACTTTTTATTTTCAGGGAGTTAGGGATGTACCTTTGTAGGCTAACGTTAAGATTATATAAATTCCTGGCACCTCTTTGTATAGAGCATTCCTGTTTCTTCTCACAGTTCCGTCAAGGCCAAATTTCATTTTAAAAGAGAAAAAGAAAAAAGAAAAAATTAAGATAGCATTAAAAATTGGGGTAAGGCCTGATTTCAGGCACATTTTTTTGGCATTTTGAGATGGAAGGAGGAATAGATTTGCTGAAGCTTCTTATGGGCTTTCTGTTGTTGTTGCTAGTCATTTGTCATCAACATTGCTATTTACAGCAAGATTTTTTTGTCAGTGGATATTAATTTGAAACTAAGATTCAGGTCAAACTTTATTCATGTTTAAAAGGTTGTTTTTTTCCTCCTCCTGTTCGTATTTCATGGATAGCTTTTGAAACAAACCTCTGTGGGTAGTTGGCAGATGAAATATTGCATGAGTATTAAAATACATGCCTGCATGTATAACATATTTAGGGTAGATTTTATTCTCTTGAAGTTTTAACATTTCATAGAGGTTACAGGCAACCTGTCAGGAATGCCACCTCGTGGTCATTTCCGAAATTACTGCTATCATCTTGGTCATCAAATAGTGATTACCTCTTGCTAAAACTACAAAGTGCTTTGGAAACAATGTGGGTTTAATAGCTACTGGTAGCAATTACCGTAAGAGTGAGATTTTCATAAACTTGTGCACTCAAAGTTGTAATAAAGCAGATTTTTCAACCCAGTTAACATTAAGCAGATGTCATAATGCTTAGAAGAGGCTCGGTATTTCCTTAGTCATTAAAAAGAATGATTATTACAATTAGTTAATATATTTTTGTTCTTATATTGTTTCTCAGACATGCTTTAAGTCAAACTTATTGGACTGATAAAACCCCAAGTTTATTAATAGAGTTTCTGGCATTCTTTTAGGTCATGAAACAAAATGGATCATCAGAGATATTAAATAAACTTTATGATACAGCAATGGACAAGCTAGAGGGTGTGAAGAAGGATTACGATGCCTTAAGGAAACGGTACAATGAGAAGATTGCAAGTCACAACACAGATCTGAGCCGCCTAGAACAGGCTGAGGAGGAAAACAGACGTCTTCAGAAACAGAATGACATGTTAATGAAGCAAAGGGACACAGCAATACATTTTCAGCAGCAATATTCGTCCTCTCTTAGAAGGTATAACCTGGTTTTTATACCTTTCAGGTATTCTGTGAAGGCAGTAACAATTCCAATTTGCGTCTTATTTTTTTCTGTGTCAGAATCACAAATACTTTGCTAATTTTTTTTTTCTAAAGTTTTTCTCTAGTTCATATTATCTTACATGGATAACTGAGTAAGCATGTGTTTCTATATAAGATTTTCTGGAAGGTCCTAGAAGGTGTGATGGGGAAGTTTATTTGGAGAAACGGTGCTTACCTGTGAGAAGAGGATTTCCCAGGTAGAGTTTTGGAATTGTATGAGGAATTTTAACCGTTGTTTAGCTCATGGGAGAAAGGGATATTCTGTGTTTCAAGCCATGCTTATTCTTAGTTGTAGACACAGGTGTCAAATTCCACTAAAATTTTGTTAAACCTTGTTGCAAACAAACTCCTCAATGGGTGGTGAACCCATCAACTGATACGTATGTTTATTTAAATATAAACGCCAAGTCAATAAGCGACTATAATTCTTAAAAAGTGTTTAGCAGTGAAGATGTTCTCAAGCATAACTTAACTTTTCATGATGTTAGAATTGCAGACTGTGTGGGATTCAGAGACAGAGCTTCTGACTGTCAGGGGAGTTCACTGGATGCCGATGTCTGGGAGTTTGCTTCAGTGATCAGCCACTGCTGCTATGAGCAGCACAAGTGCCAAAATAGAAGGGTACAGACACTATGTCACACCACACTTAGCCTCTCTCTGCTCCTCCTTGATACTAAGCCTACACAGTTACCCATAAGAGGTAGGAAGAATACTAATATACATAAGGACTCCAAAGAGCATCTGTGGGTGTGTTGAAAATGTTTTCACTGATGTAAGTTAGGGATAATATGTAACTCCCACATGTGATAGCCAAAAAAATTTTTTTTTCTACATTCATAGACATTTAGTATTTCAAAGGGTGAGACTGAGCGTACATAATTGTGAGACATCTAATTAAGTTATAGGAGAGTATGAGTAATAAGTTACGTAATTTAAGCTGCCATGAATTCCTAAAAGTGAGGGAAAGCCTAACATATACTACAAGAAACACTACAACCGTGCTGATACATGCAGAAGCTTAACAAATTTCTACTATGACCTTGTGATTTAGATGGTCTTCTTGGGAGGAAGGTGTGGTTTGATACTGAACAGAGGTTGGTTTTAAGAATTTCATGAAAGTTATTCATGTTCCTGTGAACCAGTGATCCAATTAAATGAATATAACTGAACTACAGGAATTACTGCTTTACATTCAGTAGGCTTTGGGTCTGGACTTCTATTTTACTTGTTTATGTTTATAGAAACCTTTATTTGTCTTGTGTTTATATCCTTTTTTCATAAACAAAACCATGTTTTTCTGGGTGACTGATGAAGAGTTTTGAAATGCGTTTCAAGCGTGTATGCTTTTCAGAATGTAAGATTTAACAAACTTGTAGTTTGAGGATGAATGGGTCATAAATTGCAGCACTGTTTTTTTTTTTTTTTTTTTTTTTTTTTTCTTTTTTATCATTACCAAGTGTAAACTCAGTCAAAATAAGTTTTAAAGAGAGCAGGAAGAGTAAGACTCCAGTGATGGCCCGAGTCTCGTTTTGAATTACTGTTTGGTCTTAAAAAAAATTAGAGAAGTGTTAAGCTTTTTTTCTTTTATCTATAACGTTGTTGCAATAACACACAGCATATGAATGCTACCAAGATGATTTAGTTGGTGAAAGCTTTACAGATTGCAAATTATCTATATCAACTATCTAATTCCTATGTGCTAAACCTTACCCTACACATGTGCCCCTGTATTTTGAATGTGAGCCCTCAGACAGATCTGCCCATAGTTTGCAATTGCATTGAAGACAAAAAAGGTAGTCCTAGTGAGGGTGGTTCTCAGTACTGGTTGCTCCTTATAAACCCAACCTTGCTGCTGCTGACCCATCCAACCCTGCTACTTGCAACCCATTCACAACAGCTGTCAGAAATGGGACTTCTCTACAGAAGGTGTCTGTGAAAATGTGATCCAGCTGCCAGTATTTCATTCTTGGGAGGCAATGCAAGGTCAAGCAGGTCCAAGGTGTTTCAGCTGAAACTTTGCTTTCAGGTTTCCTCAATTATCACTATTTAATATGAATGTCCCTCTATGTCACAGACTTTCATTTCTCCTTCTGATAGCTTCTGTATGCTTGTTGCGGTTTTTTTTTTGTTTGTTTGTTTGTTTGGGTTATTTGGTTGTTTTTGTGGTTTTTTTTTTTGTTTGTTTTGTTTTATTTTTGTTTCTCTTCCTTACTGATATTTTTTTTCACTTGACAAACATTACTTTAAATATTTTCTCCTCCTCTCTCCCCTGTATCTTCCCAGTGTTGCCCTTGATTTGACCCCGCCAAATAGCTTGCAAATGTACTGTGGGTTCTCACATGGTGATGAGGTTGTTTGGCATAGTGAAACACAGTCTGATACATTCTTGTACTTCTCCTGTAGTATATTCTTCTTACCTTTATGCTCACAGTTCTGAAAAGAAGAAAGAAATTCATATGGTAATATGTTAGGTTTTACATACTGCCAGCCTGATATCTTAAACTGAAGAATTTCCTGAAAGTAGCAGGGTGATGGTTTTCAAATTACTGGCAGATGCCTTGGTACAGCTGTGGCAATGCTTTGAATACAGTGAGGCTTTCAAGGAAATATTTGAAGTGAAGCTTACAGCTCTCTTGGGAAAGGTCAGGCAATATGCTGGATTAGAGAAGAAATTGTGCTTTTAAACAGCGTGAGGTGTGTGCGTGAGAGAGAGAAAACAAAGTCTGCCAGAGGTTTACAGGCATCTGAAATTTGGATAAGCCTTGACATCCATCATGTTAGGTGCAGTGTTTCCATCAACAGCATTTACCTGTGAATTTTGGGAAAAACACGCAAGGAAATCATAGTGTGCAGTTGTGGTAAAATGCTGCTCTCAGGAGAAGGTCCTTTTCAAACCTAGTTGTGAACTTGAGTATGGAATTACAGTTCCACTTGTAAGAATGATTTGTGAATATAAACACAAAAGTTACTGCTTAGAAATTAAATGAAACTTCTTATGTCCTTTTTTTGATTGTGCCATACTTGAGTAGATTGCAGTGATAAAATACATATGTTTTTGTCTGTGTTAACTGTCAAAAGTAATTTTTTAAAAGTCTGAGATTTTGTATTTCAATTCTAATAGATGACCTACTAAAAAAACCAAGCAGTAATGTTTCAATTACCTGGTTTTATTTCCATTGTCTGCATTTTTACCATAAATCCGTTTCTTTTTCTCCTCTGACCTATCCATTACCAACCTTGTGGCATATTTGGGCATGTGGACGTTGTTCTGCTTTTTTCCAATTTCTGCATTTGTTTCCCTTCTTCCCACATGCCTGAGTGTGTGCTGGGAGAAAGAATTAATTTGTAAGATGATCAGAGCTCAACCCAGTAAATAAAGTTAAATTTGTGCTATCAAAGAATGGCAATGTTTTACATTCCTTTTAGAATAATTTGCTAGACATTTAATAATCTAATATTAAATAATTTCTAACAATTTCTATGTTTCGGTTCCTTACAAGAGACACTCAAATATTCCTGAAGGTTCACTAATAATCCTAAAGCAATAATCAGTCTAACTTTTATTTTGCAGCACTGAGAGTAGATTGTCTAAGAAGTCTTCTGCATTTGTGTTTTACCAGTGGATATATTTGGTTATCCAGCCAAATCCTTAATGTATTGAAAAGGTAAAGGAGGAACAAGTGTCTTACTGGTGTTTCTGCTTGTTTTTAGATTTGAATCAGTACAGCAGGAACTAAGCAACGCCACAGCACAAAACAAAGAGTTGCAGAGAGAGATGGAGCGGTTACAGTCAGAGGTGACAAGGTTCAAAACAATGCAGCTGAAAGCAGCAAAGGATGCAGAAAAATACAAGGAAGAAAGGGATTCAGTTTTCAATGAATACCGCCTCATTATGAGTGAGAGAGATCAAGTAATCAAAGAGGTAGATAAGCTTCAAACAGAGCTGGAGCTTGCAGAGTCTAAACTGAAGAACACTTCTTCTGAAAAGCGAGTGGCTAGTGAAGAGATGGAAGCTTTAAGACAGGTACTAACCTGTTGTTTTGATGGGGAAGGGAAATGAGTGTACGTTGTTGATGCTAGAATCAAAAATGTATGACCAATTAATGGAAAATAGGAATGCACTGCAAAGAGGAAAATTAGCGCTGATGTTTTCTTAAAGCATTCCTTTTTACTATCAATTTGTTAAGCTTCCATATTTGAATAGAGTACCTGTCAATTGAAATTTGCTATTCACTTAATTCTGTTCTGCTGATGATAAATCCTTCTTTTACTGCATTAGTCTTCTATGCCTTCTCAAGTAATGCTCTCTGCAACAATATAGCTCTAAATGGTCATTATTTTTCACTTCTAACCTCTACAGGAACCAGTGGATACTAACTGCTATGACTTAAGACGGTACATGATGAAGTAGTCTCAAATATTTTTGCAAAGCCTGTGCTGACATGCATGCTATTACTCATTTGCCCTTCTTCTGCCTTTAAGTTAATGATGATATTTTGAAGATTTTTCACTACAACTTGGGCATGCCTTAAAGTGTATGAAACCAGAACTTTTTATTTTTCAGCAATATGTTCTCAAAATGCTTATATCACAACCATGTTACAATGATGCAGTCAAGATTTCCAAAACACAGTTTGCTGCGCTGTTTCATTTCAGCTGACATGCATTCACTTGACCCTTTGGTTTACAGATACTTAATTTAGCATGAAATAGGTACAAGCAAACGTGTTCCATTGCTTGTAAAGCTCATTTTACTTTTTTCACAGCATTACATCTGAACAAAATGCCCTTTATGAAAAATTAAGGTGTGGAGCTTTTTAAAAATACTGCCATTGTTGAGGGACATAATGTAGATTATGACATACGTCATCAGAGCTTTTAAAACTAACCAACTTCAGGTTTTAAGAATTCATAGTTTTCAACCCTGCTTATTTTTCAGCTATGTAATTTAGCTTCTACACCGAGTGAGGTTTTAATACACGTTGCATACCTGTTCCACTTCTATCCAAGCCATTAGGCCAATAGAAATGTCTGTTTATTCCAGTGGTTTCAGGAGAACTAATAAGGAGTACTGATGGAAATAGTTACAATTAATCATTCTGCTCCAAGTTGTTATATCTGTCATTGGGGCAGTATGAGTAATTTGCCAAAGTGCTTTAAGGGGCTGGAAATTAAAATTTTAAATACATGGGTATTTTCTCCTACTTAGATGACTAGAAGGGGTGTTTGAATAAGAACCAGAAAGGGCTTAGGACTGGTGAATGAGCTGCTGGCAGGGCACAGACATGCATTTTTTTTCACGCCCAGAACTGGCCCATCAGAAAGCAGAAATAACTCCCTCTGTAATGTACTAAAAGGTGTAAAATAGCAGTACTGTGAGTTTTCTTTTTGTTTCTTTTTTTCTTTCCTGTAGCTATGACTCTTCTGCCTGTGAGGAGGTATGTTTCTGTGCCACATACTACTGGCTCGCTGCAGCTGCATTCAGTGCAGGAGAGATTTTCTAGTTCTAGCAAGGCAAAGATTTAAAAGCTTAAAAAAAAATTCGTTGATCAAGTGATGCATTTGCTTGAAATGATATCCTGAAAGATGCCCCTACATAAGTGGGATTAATCCTGTCAGTGAGTAGCTGGTCTGGTGCTTGCCAAAATGTAATTTAATAGTCTTTGCTTTCCTTGTGATGTATAGCAGTTTTAAGTGCCCTATTATATAGCACCCATTCACTGATTGAAACAGCATGGAATTCATTTAGGTAATTTTAAATATAATTTATTCCATGAAGTTTGCGTTTGCTCGTGTACCTTTTGTGTCCCAAAGAAATGAAAAAGCAACTGCAGTGGAGAAGAGGTTGATTCTTAAGCATTGTATCATGAGCATGACTGGTGAGGTCAGTCAGTTTCCTAATTAGATAATTTAAGATTTATTGGTTGCACATGCCCAAACATAATGTGTTAATTTACATCCACAACGTACTAATTGTCTGCATTTGTAGATGATAGAAGAAGTCTCAGGAGTTCACACTATGGACAGTTGTAGATAAGTTCTCATGAGTTTGTTCACTCAAAGCTAGGGATTAGATGTTACAGATTTTCCCCCTCTACTTTCCCCAGTGGTATTTTTGTTTGGCATAATCTTTTGCTCCAGCAAAAGATTATGTTTCATCTCAGTGGTAGTCACCTTTCCCCTCTGTTCAGTAGACCTGTTGTATTTTATCCTTACTGCACTATATTCAGATGCAAGAACTTCCTCCAAACGTAAAAATTCTTCACAAATTCAGAGTTGTTCTTCAAACCAAATGACTAATGTTTCCAAACAGAAGCTGTTTTAGTTAGGGCCAAATGGCACACTGCCCTGTGCTGTCATGTAATGTTGTTCAAATGTCACAGGAAAAAGGCAGAGGTGAAATTTTACTACTAACCACTGGAGGCAATGGCTGCTCTTATTCAGATAGTTTATATTGAGCATGCTGGAATAAACTGTGACAATATGTATTTTTTTCCAGTTGCCTTAAAGTACTGTAAATTCTTGTTTAATGAAGGGCTTGCTGAGAACTTTCCCTCTGCCTTGATACTTGACTTTCATCTCAGCTGCGTGTGGGAAAAGACTTAATATTTTTGTGTAAGTTTTATGCACACATTTGAATGCACATTTTATACAGACTGTAGTTAAACCATACCAAACATTGCTTCCAGTAGTAAAACTTGTCTGCATCACCAGGTGGGTCAGGGGTTTCTCTCCTCACAGGTACTGAGCAATGGAAGCTCTTAGTGATGTTGAAAAAACTTGCGTGCTCTGGTAACTGACATTCACTGATATGTTTAAAGTTCAGAGTCATTAATTCTAGTGCTTGTCTGCTACTGTACAGCAAAAATATATCTTTTAATACTGTCACAGGACTGTTTTAACAGTGACTAGCCTTAATTAGATGCCGTACCTCCAAAACAATTATGTTAGTACAGCAAAATGCAATTGTCATCCATGCTTTAAGTACTCAATCTTATTCCTTGCAATCTGTAGAGGAAAATAGAATGGAAGTCAGTTTATGACATGGTGTCTTTCTGTCCTTAAGTATTTTGACCTTTTCCTTCTTCCGCTTTTGAGATGTCAGTTGTCTTTGATAATCTTTTTGAGATGAAAACATCAGTAGTTTTCAGCTAGGAGTGCCTGTATGTAGAAGGACTTATTGGTAGCCATTGGCTGAACGCTTCTAGAGAGCTGGACCATATGAAAATTTAGTGGCATGAAATGAAACTGTTGCAGTGCCTCATTCTTTCTATAGGAAGTCTAGTTTAAACTATTTTAAAAGGACTGAATGTATTTTTGAGCTACATTTGCATCATCTTTTTTCATGATGATGCAGTTGAATTCCACATTTGATAAGGTACACTGTCATTCTGCTTTATGTCATACTGTAGTTTAACTTCAATCATTATGTAGTTTGGACATTGGTATCTTGCTTGAATATGACTTAATTGTCCCTTTAAAACTTACGAGTAAGCTGTAAGATACTTATGTAGCTTGGTTGTCTAAATTATTTCAGTCCTATAAAATTGGGCAGTTACTTAAAAATATTTGCAATATATTCTTACCCCTTGCCATATTTAAAGATTTTTTTAAAACACCAAGTCTGACTGGTTAATAACCTTCCTTCATTTAGGTTCCTTAAAACTGTCAGTGCTCCCAGGTTCTTACTTTTGACATAGCACTGTGCGAATGTGATGGTATGATATCTTTAGTACCACATTTAATATTCTCTGTTAGTACTTAACTTGTATGTAAAATGAGCACAGTCCTGTTCTGCTGTAATTTTTTAGAACATTAGTGGTAAACTCTCTAGGCTTTTAACGTGTCAGTGTGTATCCAGTTGGAAAGATGAACTGTTTTCTTCTGTACTTAACCTATTGCAAACAATGGATCTTGTTTTAGGAGCTTAACTCAGCTCTAGTGGAAAGAGATCGAGCAATTTGTGAGAGGAATGAATTGCTGGAAAAATACTGTCATGAAGTGAAGGACAAAGCGGAGGCCCAGAAGGAACTTGACCAAGCTTGCAAGGATATTGAGACAGTGAAAGAAGAGAGAGATGTTGCCAGGAAGGAGAGGACAGAAGCTATCATCCAGAGAGACCATCTGCTAAGGGAATATTATCAAGCCCGTCAGGTATTGCAAGTCTTCAGAAATGCTTTTTTCTTTCTTAGCTTCAGGGGTCAGTAATTTTCAAGGAATTAGTTAAAGATCCGGGCTCATTTGGTGTCCTCACCCTATTCCCTGAGTCATTCTGAAATACCTATGTATAAATTCACTTATGTTCTTCAAGACGCAGTGACAGAACTTCTAGTTTGAAAGAAATACAGTCATGTTTCATATTTGTAAGAAATCAGTGGCAAATAAAATACTGTGATTCAGCAGGTGGCTAGGCACTTTATTACCTGCTGGTAGGCTCATTGCCATCTATAACATGTGTTGTTCATGCCTGTGACCTGCTCAGGATGTTAGCTATTTCTGATGCTTTATAAGGGAGGTTAACTGAAGAGTGATTGTAGATTTTTTTTTTAAAATCTGTACACGTTCTTAGAATAAATATGCTATTTTGGCAGTTTGTGTCTTTGTGTAGGTAGTAACATTCTTACAATTCTGCATACTTAATGATGCTCTTGTTGTCTGTGTGATACTAAACATCAATCCACATAAAACTGTAAATGCTTAAATTAATGTATGAAAATGCATAGTATCACAACTTCTATGCTCATGAAATAACTGAGGAATAAAAAATAATTTAATATTAAACTAGATATTTTAGGTTGTTTTTATTGAATTTATATTCTCTTTTCATTGAATACCAACCCTTTACTGGTACAAAACCAGTTTTTACTCTTGCATGTCTTACTGATCTACCAATCCCAGATGAGTGTGTGGGGAAGCAATTAAACTATATTTTCAGTTGTACTGGCAATAAATCTTTCATTGTCTTTTCTTCATGGCCAAACCAGTGGGATTTCAGAAACTTATGCTTTTCTCAAGGAAGCCAAATGAGTTTGGGTGAACTTCACTGGGACTTAACAATGGACCTGGTCAGATGCTCACCTTCGGCAGATTCCAAATCAAAATTGACACTTCAAATATAAAAGTCAATCTGAGTGGGTTTTTTGATTGTCTTTTTCCTGCTAGTGGGCTGGAAGAGAAGAAAGTGATCCTTGGAAATGGAAGAGACAATCGATAGGCTAGACATGACTTTTGATAGCTTCTGTTTGGTCTTATTTATTGCAATTTTTATTTTTTAATGTTGAGGTGAGAATGTAAACCTGGGGTTTAAGGTTCAGTGCTCTCTTACTTTTTGAATATAGTTATAATTAACTCATTTAGAGAAAAAAAGAGCATTTAAAGTTTATTGATCATGATTTAGTAGTCTCTCTTTTGATATACATGCATTCAGGTTTTTAAACATTGTTTCAAAGTTTAATCTTGAATCAAATGACAAGTCTAGTCAGACTCATTAGATTTATTTATATTTAAATTAACCACACACAGTTGTTTTTAAGCCCATGGCCTTCATTGCTTGTGATGGGCTGTACTGTTGTGGTTGGCTTGTATTTATTGTGCTTCAAGCTTGGAGTATTCTCTCTGTATTTGTCTTACTGTTTTCACCATCTCTCTTGTTCAAAATAGAGAATGTCAGAGGAACAAGTTAATTTAGGAAGTAATTCTTACCTAAAACAAGAAACGTTCAAACAAAACTTTTTCTGGAATTTCATTGTTCTTCTTTGGAGTTAAGGGACCGTTGTGAGTACATACAGCTAGTCCCAGGGTAAATAACAGACACTAATGCAGGAAATTTGTGGTGTAACTGTATATAATAGCACATATGATTTCTAAATATCCTTGAATTTTTTTTTCTGTCTGCTAAGCAGAACAAGACAGAAGCATGAAATGTCATTCCTGAAATACAAAACGTTCACTGATGTTGTTCTGAAGTGAAGATTCTTACTCATGTAGATAATATTCACACAAATTTGTGTGCCACAATGAAATACATTACAGCAGTATTTATCTCTTTTTTTCCCCCTAAAGTTGATGTTAAGATAAACAAACATTTTTTGTGCAAACTTGAGAATTGAATCCATCAGGCAACACAAATATAAGTAAAAGCTGTTTGTGCATACTTACATAAAAATTCTGCCTAAAATACTTACCTATGTTTCTTAATTCCTAGATACAAGATTCTGCTACCCTAGACATAGAAAGAGCAAACAAAGAAATTGAAATGCTTCGGAAACAATATGAGGCAATGTCACAAGAACTAAAGGAAGCTGTCCAGGAAGCAGAAGTAGCCAAGTGTAGGAGAGATTGGGCCTTTCAAGAGCGGGATAAGATTGTTGCAGAAAGGGAAAGTATACGGTAAACAAATCCTAGGTGGTACATGAGTGATCTTTGTTACACCTTGCATGCAGTTGATGCAGTTCTAGGACTTTTTGGATTTAGCTAGTACTTTCTTCAACTTCTGCATTAGCTGTCAGAGGATGATTAAGTTTTTTTTTTTAAGTTGAGGGCACCTTACAAGATACTTTGCTTTGTCTGTGCTTTCATGCCTATAATACCTCTCTAGTAAATACCATAGAGCCTAACAGTACTGCTATGTAGGAACAAGAAATTATGCATTCTTTTAGGCATGATATACCCACTCCTGTTACAGCTATAGTCCTGCAAATAATTCTTTACCTGTGGGGACATTTTCCAGGAAGTACCCAACGTGCTTGCTACTAAACATATGTAAGGAACTAAGGGAAGATACTTTTAGCAGAAAAATAATCTGATTATATAAAGATAAGTAGAAATAAAGTTTTGAAAGCAATGAAGAAAGTTTCTGTTAACTTGACAATATTTTCCTTAAGACCTAGAATATATAATTCTTTTCTTCCTTACATTTTTTTTTAAGAGATCTCTCTTTAAACTGATTTTTCAAATTTTGCATTAACTATACAATGTAGTTAAAATAGTTTGTTACTTTGGTGGGGTTTTAGATAACTAATTTGAAACTTGTTTGCTTTTGAAGGACTTTGTGCGACAACCTAAGGAGGGAGAGAGACCGGGCTGTTAGTGACTTGGCTGAAGCTCTTCGAAATCTGGATGACATGAGAAAGCAGAAAAATGACGCTGTTCGTGAACTGAAGGAACTGAAGTATGTTAGAGAAATGATCCAACTGCATGCAAGTCTGTGCTGAAAACTTTGGTTTATCTGTGTTTGCAAGTGAACCATATGTTGTTAGAGCTGTAGGCAGAAGGTATTCATGATATTGTATGTGGAAACATTGCCTATATTTTTAGTTATTGTGGAAATTATTGTGATGGTCAGGTCTCACTGTCTTAACCTTTTTACCTTATTAATAAGACACATATCCTAGGCTTTGTACTGTGGAGATACACTTAAGCAATGTGGGATTCTTTCACTGAAGTCAGATTAAATTCAGTTTAGTTCCCCCCAACTGTATTCTCACTGGTTTATAAATGCAAGGAAAATGAGCGTCGTATGTCATCTCAATAGGTTGTGGAAGGGGTTGTTCTGGATAGCAACCCAAGAATATTGGAAAGATGGAAGCACGGGGCAAATGCTGGGCACAGCTTGGATTTTTGATTTAGAAAATAAAATACAAGAGATCTCAAGACAATAACATAATGTATCAGGTTGTTTTAAAGGGGTTATCTGTGTCTATAAATAATTATTTTCTTTCCCTAGGGAGAAGATGGAGAATCAGCTGGAAAAGGAGGCCAGATTCCGTCAATTGATGGCACATAGTTCCCATGACTCGGCGATAGACACAGATTCTCTGGAATGGGAAACAGAAGTGGTAGAATTTGAAAAAGACAGAGTAAGTCAGAAACGCAAACTACATTATCTTATATATTGGATAGCTTTGAGATCAATTGTAGCATCATGGTACTAGATATGATTAAAAATAACTCTAATCTGTATTTGACTTTGATTCTTTATTGTTGTGCAAGGAACCACACACACACATGCAGCAAGTGTGGTAATCTCTAGATGAAAGTAGTTGGCAAAACCAAGCTGTTATACACAAGCTTCATATTTTTCTTCATATGAATTATAAATAATAACAGTTCCTCCATCTGATCTTGCAGGGTACCCAGGTCCATGTACTATAAAAAAAAAAAGATTTAAGTTAAGCATTTAGTCGTCTTAAAGTCAGGGATTCGTTGCAGAAATGGCAGTGCTAGGGCAGCCAAAATTCAAAATTTGATGGATACAGTGACATCAGAGAGACTAGTCCTCTTCTCTTACAGGCAACATCACTTATAATCTATGAATGAAAGAGTTAAGCTTTTACATAAAGTTAATTCTCTTACTTTTGCTTAGATTAGGTGGTTAGAAATTTTGAAGTGTTAAAAGTATTTATTTGTAATAAACATATATTTTAGGGCAACATTTTCCTTCAGTTTAAAAATCTGGGATGAAAGGAGATGACAATCTCTTGCTTGTCTGTAGAGGAAGTTACGTCCCCTTTCCATTTTGGCATATTAAATAAAGGTCTTATGTTTAGCTTTCCAGATAACCTCTGCATTCTTTTGTTTTCCTAGTAGTACTTTTCTGCATTTAATTCTGTTTTTCTTCATTGTAGTCTAGAATTTTTATTTCACTGCTTTGTATGCAAGTCTTGTATGCAGTTGCATTTGAAATTTTTGGCTGGCACATCGTATTGTTTGCTACTAGTAATTTTTTTGACTGCATAGAACACACAGGTGGTCTTCCAGATTGTGTTTCATTTGTAACAGCTTCTGCATATACCAGAATTTTTCTCATTCCTGAATGACAAAGTTTGTGATTTAATGCCATCAAAATAAATCCCTTTTGTTTTACTGCAGTACTTGAGGTAGTTTTTTTACGCTCTTCCAATCTGTCAGTGTTCTGACACTGCATCTCAATAAAATCACTAATGCATTCCTTTTTTGACACTAAAAATATTATTTAGTATTGCTATATGTTGAAATCTATAGATTGAAAAGACTCTATGAAATGAGTACCAATGCTGATCCATCAGGACCATGGTCTGTAAATCCTTTCTGCTTTTTCATCTCTTTTGACCAGCTCCTTCATCATCAGATTTTGTGTGTTGCCATCTTCTCCATTTTAAGTTATAACTAATAATTTTGCTTTTCCATTGTCTGTAAAATTAGGTAGCAAGTCTAACGTATGCTGCACCTGTGGTAAACAACATTTCAGCCTGATGAATTTGCCATTCATGTGGAGTTACTTGGTTATTATTTACTTCAAATTTTGTTCTAAATGTTTGCATTACTCACACCAAATATATAGGCTTTGTCATTTGAATATACATTTCCTTTTCCTAAACATAGGGATTACGCTTGCTGCTATCAAATTATAGTAATAATATTGTGCCAACCTTGATCAGGTGTATGGGAAGATCCTTGCTGACTAACCATCATTTGGATTCCAGAATGGAGATTATAGAGTTGAATACATATAAATCTTTTATTTTGGGTTCAATTTCACCTGCCTGCTTAAGCTTGTGTTCTATATAATCATTCAGCTCAAAACTGAGAGAAATAATACTCACTTTTCAGCTATGAGGCTGTGCAATGATACTGTGATCTCGATCTTTATTTTATGGCAGCTCCATGGTCTTCCCTTTGAATTTTTTTCTTACATACAATATTTGAAAAAATCATAAGGATTTTAGTATGTTTTTGGCAGATTTAGCTCAATTTCATTTCTGGTAAATACTCATATTTTTGCATGTTTTATCTTCAACTTTTATCAGGCATCATCTGCACTTCCTAAAAACTTTATGCTCTTCTTAATTTAAGGGGATTAGTCATTGAACCATGTCTAGAACCATGCCTTACATATCTGACTTAAGCTCTACTTAATTTTTACATGTTAGATTTTAAATTTCAAGTAACATCTCCCTTCAGTATGCTGAGATGGTTGGTCCAGTTGGTTTCAAGTGGAATTCTCTAATTTTTATAAGTGTACTATTGAACATTGACGGTAGTAATAATCATGTGATCAGTTGGTCCCAATTTATTTTCTTTAACCAGTTGGGGTTTGTTTGTTTGTTTGTTTGTTTTTGTTTGTTTGTTTGGTTGGTTTTTTTTTTTTTTTTTTTTTTTATAGTGATGTTGCCATTTACCAAATCAAACACTAAATTAAAATTTCTATGTTTGGTTCAATGACTGATTTGTTAAAGAAGTTTATCACTTTTCACATTGAGGATAATCTGTTTTGGGCCAGGGTTGGTCAAATACCACTTCTAATCTGTATTTAGAAATGGTGCCCCATAATGTTTGAGCTTTCTTTCCTTTTTACTTCTGGTCTCCAGCCATATCAAAGCAGACATCTTTCTGAGTTCATCACTAAGACACAATGCTGTTTCCTTACCTTTACAGTTGTTTTTTTCTCCAGGTAATGCCTGTTGTTGGGGATCATGTCCTTGTTCTCTCATTATATATCCAGCATCAAACCTTAAAGCAGGTTATATGTGTCTGAACGTGCTTTCTCGCATGATATTCTGCTTTCCTATTCCTCTTTGGTGAAGTTCCCCTTTTGCATTATTCCAGTCTTAATTTGAGAGAGAAGGATTGTTTAATGTTAGAGGGTTCATAATAACTAATGTAATTGGGATCTTATTATATTGAAGTACAAAATATAAAAACTTGGCTAGAACAGGTACTCTGTAAATGTAAGTGCATAGTACAAGCAACAGTAATGCTTCTTTCTAGCAGACAGCAGCACAAGGGTTTCTAGTGCAGCTGAGTTACTTGTTAATATTTTTTTTAGGATGATATGGACTTGAAAGCACTTGGTTTTGATGTGGCAGAAGGCGTAAATGAACCATACCTTCCTGGAGACTGTGGGATCTTCGTTACCAAAGTAGACAAAGGAAGTATTGCTGATGGTCGATTAAGGTAGGGTTTGACTTTGGAAGATACTTGTCTTTTGTTGATCATCATAAACTAAATATGAGCATATTGTAAATTGTCTTGAGTTTTTCCCATTTTTTTAAAGTTCTTTTTTATCATTGGTCATGTATATATTATTAATGTTGGTGGGGAGATTGCCTTGCGACCAATGCCTAAAAGCATTACAGAAATTAAACAGTGTTTGACTCATCCCTTAAAACTCATGTTCTTTTGTGTCTTTTTGTTTCACCTACTCTGTTTGTTTATTATCTCCTCAGACTTTGATTTATTTATTTAAATTTTGGGAAAGGCATAGGGTTGAGCTATTGGGGGAGGGCAAGAGGAAAGGAGACTAGAGCAAGGGATAATTTGAAACCTGCTCCTGTTCATAGTGTTGATAGGAGGTTTTTGATAACTCTCCTCTGTCTGAAGAGTTGTTTTAAAATAAGGAGTAGTCATTAGTGATTTGAGGATATACTTTTGCTGGTGAAGTGCAGACTGGAAGTCCTGTTTTTCATTTAGCTGCTATCAAATCCTTTTTCAGGAACAGAGAACTCCAGATAATTGAGGATTAGCGTATAGACATCAGCTCCATTGCATCCTTTTTCGTGAATGTTATTCATGTGCTGCATCTAGCAAAGTATGCTTGTAACACTGACCTGCTCATTTCTGTTTATCTACTAGAGTGAATGATTGGTTGCTGAAGATAAATGATGTGGATCTTACTAATAAGGATAAAAAGCAAGTTATAAAAGCTGTTCTAAATGGAGGAGGTGTTATTAACATGGTGGTTCGGAGAAGGAAGTCCTTAGGTGGGCGAGTGATAACACCTCTTCACATCAATGTTTCCGGACATAAAGGTAATGGCTATAAAGGATGTATGTAAATGGTGTTTGTTCAGCCAAAAACGGCTTGACATAAAGGTACATCTTCTGACTCTCCACCTAAATCCCACTTAAACTGTTATTTTGTCCTAGACAAGGATTTCCATTCATTGTTTTTAGCAAGCTAAGAATGTTGTTATTGCTGATAACTTTATTCTGTAAGCACAGGTTTTCTCTTTTTGTTACTGAGTGGGTTTTAAGTTGTTTGTTTGTTTGTTTGTTTGTTTGTTTGTAGTACATAGTTCTAGTTAGCTGTCGCTCTAGAGTGTTACTGAGTGTCTAAACAAGACTGTTAAACCCATCAGTCATCCCAGCTTTGTATGATAATGTAAAATTTGGCGATACCCAAAATCTCTGTTTCTCCCACTGGGTTCTTATTTCTTTAAAAAGGTTTTCAGAAATTGAAGTTCGGTTGATTTCATAGTTATATTTCTTTCTTGTGCAGTCAGGTCAGACAATACTGTTCCAGCAAGGTATTTGAATTGCAGGAATAAATTCATTTTGTGTGTGTGTGTATTTCAGATAGTGGGGTCAGTCTAGAAAATGGAGTATTTGTTGCTTCTGTTGTGCCTGGAAGCCCAGCTGCCAAAGAGGGTTCCCTTACAGTGGGAGATAGAATAATTGCTGTAAGTCTTAAGAATGCATTCTCCTTTTTAAATTTTGTATTTATTTTAAAGTGTTACATGCTACTCTTTCAGATCCCACTTTGCAGTTTAGTTTTTACTTTCAGTGTTACAGGCTTTTTGTATGTTCACTAAGTATTTATAATAAATTAATGTGTCTGTAGTCTGAGTGATTAATATAATGTACAGGTTATTTGATACACTTAATTCCTATGAGAATTTTTGACAGAGACACTGACTTACTCTTCACACTTGGCTTATATATAATGATGCTCGTGATTTTTATACTGAATATGAAAGGTCAGTTCCAAAAGACATCCCTTGGTTGGAAGAAAGGTTTCTTGTCTTTTAAATCATGGTATCACACGTGTCATCCTTCTGGGGGGAAGTTTTTCCCTGTGTGCTTTTGCAGCCTTAAACCACCTGTCTGATTTTTGAGTTCCTGTGAAACAGAAGGTGGTTTCTGTTGATGTACAAATGCAGAGAGGCTAATGTAGTGAAACAAGTGTTGTTACACTGTATCTCTAGGAGGAATAGCAAAATTGTACTTAGGAGGTGTAGGTTTTTTAGTGGAGAAGGGAAAAAGAGAGGACAAGGTCAACCAGAGTGCAATCATGTATACATAAAAAACTACTGTTTTCCCTGTTTCAGAGATGCTACTTAAAATGCTCCACACCTGCTACCTTTGATTTACAGATATCTGTTGTGGTTTTTTTTGTGTGTAGATCAATGGCATTGCACTAGATAATAAGTCACTTACAGAATGTGAAGCTTTGCTACGAAACTGTAGGGATTCCCTTACCCTGTCACTGATGAAGGTGAGTAGGAGAAGCTAAATTAGCAGAATTTTCTTGAACTTACACAGAATTAGTTTAGCTGTTCCAGGAAGAATATATGAAAAAAATCAATATATCATAATGGGAAAGTCTCTGCTAAAAATAAGACCATCTGGATGCATTTTACTCGTGATACACTCACTCAACAGTTATTTCCAAAGGAAGGCTATTGTGGCATTTGGTAGGAAATAACATGTATTTATTGCTCTTACTTCTTTCCCATTTGTTTGCTAGTCACATGAAATGACTCCTAGCACAATTGCTTCTTTCTTCTTGGCTTTTGCTTCAGAGCTGTAGCAGTTTTGTACATGAAAGATAAACTGCCTCCTGAATACAGAAAGGTTTGCTTTCAGTCAGGAGGGAGTTGTGCAGAAAACTGGGCTCTGGCTATCATGAGGATTAAGTACAAGGCTTTCTTTTTCAGGCTTATTACTAGAAAAATATTGTTCTGTTTTGCTTATTGAGTTTAGAATCCCATTATGTTGGGCCTGTCGCATGAGCTTTGTGAGTGATAGTTGCAGCTCCAGAGAGCTTGAGGTTTTAAGAAAGTAAAAAGATGAGATGTTTGAGGGGAAATGGGCAATGAAAGCTGACTTATTAGCATCACTTAACAGAGGTAGAAGAAGACTGCAGGTCCCTTCACTCTCAGTTCAGTGCTTCTGCCACAATGGGGAGTTGTTGATCTGGAATTTTTCTGAAATCTTAAAAAATTTCTACCTTCATTTTATCTGATATTTTGTGCTTTGAATCAGTAAGATGTTGTTAAACCTTTCCCAGTTGTATCTATACATGTCTTGGTGTATATTCAGGTGTAGGTAAATCAAGAAGGCTAGAAATGTAAATCAAGGAGACTAGAATACACTTTGTACAAAACAGAAATCAGCCATAATAATAAGGTGATTGCGTGTGTTTTATGTTTTAGGTTTTTCCTCAGAGTTCATCTTGGAGTGGTCAAAATATATTTGAAAATCTGAAGGATTCAGAAAAAATATCAAACTGTAGGGTTCATGCATCAGAGATACAAGCCCAAAATAAAAGAAATCTGAAACTCAACAGCTCAACCCAGACGGACATTTTCAATCCAGACATCATGGATGGCAAGAAGGACCAGAGTGATCAGGGCAGCGGTTCATTTTGTGATCACAAACCTTTCCCTAATAGCACATTACGAGTAGACTCTCATAGGAACACAGTGCACAGTTGCCACAGTAATTCAGAACACAGTCTCAGCTCCTTCAGTCCAGAGACATATGGGGACCAAGGCTATGGAGCTGTTGACTTGGACAACAGGAGGCTGCCTTATGAAGCTGCAGGAGCTGACTGTATGATGGTTGAGACCTCATTTGACAAAGGACATGGAACTAAGCATAGTGGTGGTACCTGGCCAAAAGTCATGGTTAATATCTCAGCAACAGAAACAGAAAAGTTCTCTGTGTACAAAAAGCCAAAACAAAGGAAATCTATCTTTGACCCTGATACTTTCAAAAGACCACCAACTCCTCCCAAAATGGAGTACCTTTCCCCTAATCAGGTGACAGGCCATTCACCTCAGCCGTCAAAAACTGAAGCGGCTTCAACTCCTCCAACTCCTCCTAAGAGAAGTGACTCTATCAAATTTAAACATAAACAGCAGGCAAGCTCTGCATCAGAATCTACTGTAACTACTGGATCGCCACCCACCAGCCCAGCCACTGCCCAAGCTCTAGTTTCCTTGGCACTTAAGCAGGACTCTGCTACTCTCAAGGGGCGCAGCAGGAATGCTGGGCATTATTATCGGGAGGAGGGAATTGACTGCACTCATCTCTCTTCAAGGAAATCCTGTGAAGATGACATTGGCTTTCAAAGAGTTGAAGAGCCAGAGATTAAAAGACCAAGGCCAAAATCAGCTCCTGCTCTGAGGCATAAAATGACCCCTATGCCTATTCCTAATCCTGCTCTTCAGGTAGAAGCTTGGTATATTGAAGCACAAAACTAGAAAGTTTACAGTGTATGTTCTGTGCGGTTTTGGGTGCCCAGTTATTTATCATAACAGGAGAAACACAGCCAGTTCTCAAAACCCTGGTCCCCTGAGAAGCTACCCCAGACTCAGTTGGAACTTTGCAGTATCACAAAATACAAAACCCATTAATGGAATTGCAATATTTAGCAGGCAGTGGTGGCTGACAAACAGAATGGTGGAGTTATTCTTAGCAGTCACATCGTGGGTTTTAATGCTGCTTGTTGGAAGATCTGGGCTCGCTTTTGTATGCTTTTGGCAACCTGAAAAAAAAATTTAAATAAAACCAGGAAGAGGCAGCTTTAGAAAAGCTGAAAATAAGGCCTAAATTTTACAGAGGTCAGATTGGTTGCCCAGTTTACTGTACAAATTAATGGAAAAAGGTATACCATTCACAGTGTTGTGTTTTATAAGTTACTCCATGTGTCTAAATAATTTCCTAAATTGATAGGGTGTTAGACACATTATACTGTAAAGATGGACTGTTTATGAGAATATGGTTTAATAATACAGTTCAAAATGAGAGTATAATTTGTTAGAATAAACAATCCTGTTGTGGAGATTGTGGGTCATGTCTTACCAAAGTAGGTGTAAGAAAAATTTTATGCTGCCTAGGAAGAACCACCTATGTAGATGACTGTGTTATATGAAGTGGCATAATCAGTCATGTGTTTTCAGGTCTACTGCCTCAGATTTTCTCAGGCAGCAGGTGCAGAATTTATTTTTTTTTCCAACTTAAAATATGAAGTTTCAGAAGTGTTATTTTTGCTTGTATATAATCACATCATAATGACTTAGAATATCATATTCTTTGTCTGTACTTGTTTATACCTGGATGATCCCACCCTCCTCATGGAATTTTAGAAGCAATACAGACAGCAGAGCTGAATTGGAAGTGGTGCAATTTTTGGAGCTATTATTCTGCAAAAATACTGGTATAAGAATAGCTGGCAATTTCGTTTGTCTTTTTTTGGCTGCTTCCATTGTATTACTTTTTCATTCCCTAACATTGTTTGGGAAAAATAGTTTTGGAGAGTTTTAAGCATTTTTTTTATAGAAGTGTCCAGCAAATTTTGCATTATTATTGTGGTTTAACCCCAGCCAGTAACTAAGCACCACATAACCTCTTGTTCACTCCCCCTCAGTGGGACAGGGGAGGCGATTCAGAAGGGTGAAAGTGAGAAAACTAGTGGGTTGAGTTAAAAACAGTTTAATGATGAAAATAATAGATTGTAATGAAAAGGAAAATAACAGAGAGAAGTAAAACCCAAGAAAAACAAGCAATGCACATGAAAACAATTGCTCACCACCAGCTGATGGATGCCCAGCCGGTCCGGTCCAAGTAGCAGCCTCCCAGCCAACTCCCCCTAGTTTTGTTGCTGAGCCTGACGCCGTACGGTGTGGGATAGCCCTGGGGTCAGTCGGGGTCGGCTGTCCCGGCTGTGTCCCCTCCCGACTCCTTGTGCCCCCCCAGCCACTCGCTGCTGGGGTGGGGTGAGGAGCAGGAAGGGCCCTGACTCTGTGTAAGTGCTGCTGGGTGGTAAGGAAAACATCACAGTGTTATCAGCACTGTTTCCAGCACAAATCCAAAACACAGCCCCATACTAGCTACTAGGAAGAAAATTAACTTTACTCCAGCCAAAACCAGTGCAGAAAACGACAGAAAATCCCAAGGTGTTAATTTTGGATCTGAAATCAGCAGATTTATTCTCTACAGGTCTGAAGAGCAGTATGGCTAAGAGAAAGGTCACAGTTTTTCAACAAGAACTGCACTGCAAGGGTGAAGGAAGGCATAATCTACTGCCATCTTTTGGCACGTATATAACAACAAAACAAGATCAAGCCATTGAACACATGTGAATACAGGGTGTTTGCTTTATGTAGAATAGGAAGTTGATCCATTGTCACTGATAGTCCTATGCTTCATTATAGCACATTGCTGTGAGCATGTACACTGTCCTGGTTATAATTGTAGTAATATTTATGTAGTGAGTGAAGTTTCCAACTGCGACAAGGACATGTGTAGATGGGGACTTACATGTAAGAAATTTGTTAGCTGGAACAGAGAGGGTCTTTCTATCCCTCAATATTTAAGAGACCAGAAAGTATGGGCAAGCACTTACTATGGATCGTTCTACATATTGCTCAAGTGATATTGCAGATATCATATAGATTTTGGTTTGAGGTGAAGAAGAAAATGGTATAATAGAATTATAAAGTCATAGTTTTTGTTTTTTAAGGTTACTTGGGGTATTAATTTACTTAGGTCTCTAGAGTTAAATTAGGACTAGGTTCTGTGAATATTTTTTTTTCCTCCCTTTAATGTCTCCCCCATGCTTCCAGAAAATAGGCAGAGCTTTGTAACTCTAAAGTTGTTGACTGAAGAGCAGAAGTGATACTGTGCTTCAAAATGTGGACACCATTCACTCTGAAAATTTCTCTCTGGTGGAATCATCTTTGTGCATTACAACTACATCAGGTTGTGTGACAGTAGTGTCCAGTCTGCATGTATTCATTCCTGAAGTAGTGTTTGTAATGTCAAAATATGTATTGTTAGACACATACTACATGTGCAGTGTGAATTTGTAGCCATATTGGGTGTTATCAATTTCCTTAGTTGTGTATATACACAGTTAAGTTTGTGTACTTTGATAAGTTGATAAATTGAAGAGAGCTTTTATCCCTGAGTAGTAGGTGGTACAGTTGCATCCATGGTAGTGATAAAGTATTAGTTCTAAGAAGCTACCTCTGCATTTTAGAGTCTTTGTGCTCTCAGTAACAATTCAATTAATTAAAATACTGCTATCATAAAAACTGTAAGTACTTTTTCAATAATTATTTTTCACTTTTTACATACTTCAATCTCATGGTTTGTGTTGGACATTTCAAATGTGTAAACTGTGTGCTGAGGTTACAGTTCTCTAACATCACTGTCAATATTTGAGCAATTCTCATGTTTCTTAACTCACCAGCATCTACTTGCTATGTACAGAACAGAAGTAATTGTTTCAAAACCTGAATTGCTGTGGTGAAGAGAGGTTGCTCCACACGTACCTGAAAATACAGGCTTAGAGGAAAACACTTTCTGGCTTGTCAGCTGGGTCTTCTTTAGGAAACACTTGCAGTAGTGGCTGAAATAATGGTTGAAATGTCCTGTGAAATCGGTATTTTAACAAAGGAATGTTAACTAAATGATGGTTGTTTTATTGTGAAGGGAAGAAGAGGTACAAGTGAAGAGCATAATTGAAATATAAAGGTGTAACAAGTGCTGTGATTTTGAGCATATCCTGGAGCACGTACTAGAAGGTGTCAAGTGGCTTACTGTCTACAAAGATTGGCTATTTTTTTTTTTTTTTCTTCTGAATCCCCAACTTCCTGTAATCAAATTTCTGTTGTTTTGTAGGTGCAGAAGTATACTCCAGCTAGTGAGGAGCATCTATCTCCGGAGCTACAAGAATGGGCACCATATTCACCAAAACGGTCTGCTAGGCACAGTGATGGCTTTGTGACTGCTGCCTTATACGCTGGTGGCATGTCAGCAGGTGAGTGACTGAAGTTGCAGTTACTTTCTAGGAATGCTTCAAGGAGTCTGTCCGTATTGGGGAATATTGTGGATTGGTCATGATTAACACAGAACAAACATCACTCAGGAAGCATGTTTCTGTGGTCTGTTGTAATCTGAACATGGTCTGCTCAGCTTCGTGCTGTAAAGAAGTTAAACCCGTTTAAGAACTGTTAAGCAAACTGAGCAGCTTCTGATTGAAGGATTTGTGTTTCATCAGTTTCTGTGCAGAAGAGTTTTGAATACATTCGTGGTGAACAAGGTCTAGCTTACGTGTTAGGGAGACAAGTAAGATTTCCAATATTTCTGAAAGCAGACTGTAAATGGAGGCATCCCAAGCTTTAGCTGCCTATCTTCTGAAATACTTCCAAGGAAAAAAATCTGATGTTGAGCAAGTGCAACATATTAAGTTCTACCTATGGGAAATCAAATACTTGGAGTATCGCAAGTTGAGTGACCAAACTGGTTGTGATCTTAATCTAAATTAAAGATTAAATTTCAGTGTGTTTGAGATACTAAGCTGCTGAGGAGAGAACTCGGAAGCAGCTCACACAGAAATCAGTATAATCGGGTAGAACAGCAAACAGCACGTTGTCTCAGCTGATCGGCAGTTGATGGTATTGAAGTTCATGTTAGCATGTTTTAAATAGGCACTGACGAAATGGGGTGCTTCAGGAGTGAGTTACGATATAGTATGCTAGTTACCTTGAACTAGTTGAGAAGCATTTGGTAAACTTGTTGCCAGATGGATTGTTCAATCTTCAGTGTAGCTACCTGCAGCAGTTGCCTATGGAACTTGATCTTCAAATCAAAACAGTATTGATTTTTATGATTTTACCCTCAATTCTTTGGAAAGCTCCAAACTCTCACACATTCTAGAAGTTATGGAAGACTTTCTTCTTAGTGGAAACCAAGAAGGAGGTAATGAGTTACATATCTGGAACAATGGACAGCTTTAAACCCTGTTGTCCCAATTGATTTTCAGGATGTAGAGACATGCTCAAGAGAAGCTCAGATCAAAGACGCTTTTGCTCTTCTTTGGTTGGTTGTGTTTTTTTTTTTTTTTTCCCCTCTTTTCTCTCTCTTTCTCTCTCCTTTAATGATAGTAGAAAAACTATTAAAATGTATTGTTTCTCACTAAAAGCTTTATCTTATGATGCCTTTGCATAATAACCCAATCAAGTCAAGCCTACATTAGACAATACAATTGTATGTCTCAATGTGAACAAGTTTTTGCTATTGTAATCTGTTCTACAAACTCATTTAAGAGGAATTTGGTAAGGTAGACACTAGTTGAGCGCTGAAGGATGAATGAACTGAAAAGAGCGGTTTGAGTAATAGCTTTAAATTATAGTATTTCAATATTTATTTATTAAAGTCATAGGACACACTAGAAGTGCGAGTCTTTGATGCAACAGAAGAGGAACAAGAATCATTTTATCTGCAGTCAGTTCAAGTACCAAATAAGAACTTGCATTCCTGTATCTGACAGGATGCTATTCAGAGAGAAATGCAGAATCTGTGTTGCTGTATAAAGAAGTTTGATACTTGAAAACAGAGAAAATCTTTTGGTTACCAGTGCATATTAAAATAATATAATCTGAATTGCTTCATTTCTGGTAATATAATCCACTTTATTACTAACTCATTACAGAATTATAAACCAGATGTAAAAAATGCATGTCCTACTTAAAAGGTGTCACATGGTGCTTAATAATGTGTTTGCCTGTATGCTAATAATTTTTATTTATAGATACATGTTCATACATGCAAATGTTATAATACATAATTACATAAATATTTAAATATATTAAAAACCTGTAGTTCATAGGCAAATAATGTTGGTAAGAATGTGTTTTTATCATCTTAAGCAGGTACAGTACCAAGAAGCTTAGCACCATGCCCTGCAGTAACTGCTGTCATGAGGAATCCAATCTATACTGCCTGGAGCCATAGAGTTCACACCAGCAATTGCCCATCAGTTGCCAGCCAAATATGCCATCAGCATCTGCATCCCAGGTGTTTTGAAATTTATATCTCCTTAAATTTTGGTTTTCATTATGGTGAAATTGCTTCTGATAGTTATTTTCTACAGTGCAGAGTGAAACATGCTACTGTTGCATGTTATTTTCACCCAGGGTTCTCAAAACCTTTATTGCAAAGAAGTGATGTAACAATTGCTTTCATGTCTTTTATTAGCTGATGGATTAGGTTTCCCTCTGCTCGACTGGCTGATATTGACAAAGAAACTTATTTTTTTAATGAACTAATTTCTAATGTGTTGGGGAGTTTTTGTCCTTGCCAAAACAAATAAACCCTTCCCCTTATAGCACTATAGGCTATTTTTCCTCTTGACTTGTCTGAATTGAGAAAATGATGAGACAACTGAGAACTGTGAAGGAGAGGAATATTCGTTTTATTTAGTAACTCTCGGATAACCAAAATTTTTTGTTGGCCAACTTGGTATTTGCTGAGGTGCTTTACCCATTTCTAACTGTTGCCCTATTCTCCTTTTCTTTTGATGTAGTTCCCAGCATCAAGGTCGGTTGAGTTTAGACCTAAGTCATAAACACTCCAATGACTACTCTGAAAATTCACGTACAAGAGCATCTCATGGCTCAAATTCATTACCATCCAGTGCAAGACTTGGTAACTAGCTTTTCTGATTTATTTCCTGTGGGACTGCTATATACTGGAGACTAAGAATAAATGGAAAATTCCTGAAGTACACACGTTACGGGATTGTCGTAACTAGCAAAGCCTGAAGGTTTCCTGTGTTCCTTTGCATCATTTTTTTGTGGTTTTATGACAAAAGGTGTTTCCTGAAAGTAGCTGTGTTTAATTCATCTTTTACAGTCTCTTGAAAACGCTCTGTGTGTGTGTGTGTGCATGTGTGAGTGATTCTCCTTTCTGTGCTTGTTACTGTTTGAAAGTAGCCTTATAAAGATGGGAGGCTCAGCCAAAGTATATCTGAGGTTCAGTGAGGTGGAGAGTCGAGAAGAGGATAGAGCCCCCAGACCAAAAGGTCAAGGATGCCTAATGGCCTAATGTAAATTTTATTATTGGAAGATAAGTTACACTTTTATGTTTACTTGATTCTTTATGCCTATCCTAGTAATACCAAGGCAAATGCATGCTTTGTAGCTATGACATATTAACTTTTTAGAATTTATTAAATTTTAAATTACATAGTAACTTTTTTTGTGCATGTTTGTGTTCCTGTATTCCATCAATGACTGGCAGTTGCATCTGAATAGAGCATGGCAGCTTTGTAACCATGGAGAAAAATGGCATAACAGTTTGCAACCAGTGTCAAAAAGTTATGCGTTCATCCAAGCAGAATGTGATCAGAATATTTTAAATGCCTTTTGGAAAGTCCCATGGATTCTTAGGAAAGAAGCATGTTAGATTCTTGCTTGGACTTCAAGTTGGATTTCATTTGATGGAAAAAATACTCAAAATATTTTTCATACAAGAATGAACACTGCCTATATATTGTTATAGCTGCATTGTGCTCTGTTTATACTGAATGTGTGATCAAGTCAATTTACTGTAAATATGATGAATACAAGGGTAATCATCAGGGCTTGGGCATAAATTTGGAGGCTGTTTGAATGCTCATTGGAGAAGTAGAATGTCAGTGTACTTTTTTGTTCAATGTAGTTGCTTTTACTTCTGTCAGTGTAATGTTTTCTTGTTGTACAAATAGGTTCTTCAAGTAACTTGCAGTACAGAACAGAACGAATTAAGATCCCTTTAACACCAAGATATCCGAGGTCCATGATGGGCTCTGACAGAGGTGAATTATTTCATAAGTAATTTTAGTTGTACTATTTTCAGTATTACCAATCCAAAGCCTTTGCAGTTCTTAAATCGGGTTTCAACTAAATCTAAAGATGACAGTTGTATTAAAGTTACAAAATATACATTTTGCTACAAAAAGGTAAAAAAAAAAAAAAATAATTGACAGTTGATATTTCTGTTAGTTGACTCAAGGATGTGGCACACTAAGAAAAAAGTTTACAAAAGAAGTAAGGTTAACCATTGCTGTATGTTTTACAGTTGTAGTTTTCTGCTGGAATGATGTCTTAAAAGTTATATTTTGAAATGCAGTGAAAATATTTTAGGACTTCACTCAGAATTGCTTGGTGGAGGATATTTGAAGACATGATACAAATACCATTTGGAGTGCTGGAAAGCTGTAGAATTCAGTTTGATGACAGTAAACAGCAACTGTTCGCTGCCATCACTGCTCAAATACTCTGTAGCCTTAATGGATTGTATGCTGTGGTTTTCCTAACAGGGCAAATACAATTCTTATAAAGGCTTTCATTTGTGATGAGTAATTTGAGATTTATTTTCTGTAGCTTTTTCCAGAGGAAACAAACTGAATGTTTCTGTCAGGGCACTTGTTCAGTACATTGCTCAAGGAGGGTACAACCAGGGAAGACACACTAAGAAAGTCATGTCAAGCTTGTTTGAAATTGCAGCACTTTCCTGACTGTGTGTATAATTCATGCTGGAGTTTTGTTGGTGTTTCATAATGTATCTTCTACCCAAAGGAAAGGGCTGTACATAGATACTCTATTTGAAAATAAACCTACGTTATTAAATTTTTCTTTTACTTCTCCTTTCCTGGTTTTTATTATTTTTCTTTTACTTTGCATTGCTAAGTTTTTTCAGACATGCATATGGTGTAGCTTGTCTGTAACCTCCTCTCATTGTTGAGAATGGCAGTCGTTGTATGCATGCTTACAGAGGACAGATTTGACATATAGTCGTTAAGGGCAGTAAGTTTGCACTGTCTGAAGTTACCTGGTCTCGTTAGAGTGCTTGTGAACAGTCAGTCTTCTTTCTCATGTCAAATGTGTATGGTGTCTTTCACTATGTCTGTGTAGATCTCCAAACTATGACAGATGAAGGATACTAAAACACAACTGTTGATTTTCCATAGGCTCCTTGTCACACTCTGAATGTAGCAGTCCCAGCTTGATAACTCCTCCACAGTCACCTCTTAACTTGGAAACATCATCCTTTTCTAGCAGCCAGTCTCAGAACTCCCTTTCTACATTACCTAGGATTTCCATTAGCCCAGTATCTGTTGGAGAACGTAGAAAAGATAGGTAAGGTCCCCATGTTATTTGCTTTTAATACAAATGTGTACGAGGAAATTTTGTATGTTTGTTTATTGGGCTGAAGGAATGTGAAAATTTAAGTGACAAATATGTGCGTGCAGAGTTGCTTCTCCAGGTCCTGTTAATTGATGTTTTTATTTATTTGCAAAGTATGTAAGAGATCTTTATGTGGATTTTTTCTTCGAAACTGAAGAGTAGATTCTTGAGTTTAGAAAATGAAGGAATTCCATAAGGGTTTTATTTCTTCCATGTTAGGTTAATGGCCACACCAAATAGGAGCAGTCTAAATTGGACTACACCTCTTCAGCAGAACTATGTCAGGTGCTTGCTTATGATAGGCTTGTTCGGTAAACTGGAAAACTAAAAAAATTAAGACCTAGTAACATCTGATCGCTAAGTATCAAGTGCCTTAGCGTTGTAGAATATGTGCTCTAACCACTGTGCTTTAATTCAGTTTAGCCAGATAACATGAAAAATTGAGGGCATAACTGTGCAAGAATGTATCCCGATGTACAGATGCAGTTTTACTACTGTGACCGATCTCTTTGGCTGTACCTGGACCGCTGCTAGCAATAGCATTAAGTGTACGTGTAGCTGCTTGCAGAATTTGAACCTGATAAGATAGATTTCTTAAAAACATGAGCTTTGTGCTTTAATGACTTTTTATATCTCATGATGAATGTTTTCAAGATATGTCGATTATGGTATCAGTCTCAGACATGTGATTTCATTTTATCATGATCTGGCTCGACTGAATATATGAAGAAGTTTACATGAATTCAAAGCATTGAACAGTAAGACACAAATCTGAATCAGGCTTTTATTTACAGTAAGGCAGCTGAATGCCATTCTGGCAGTGTAAAGGAACTATGATGTGTTGGAATAGATTACATTTATGTGGACTTCAAGACCCTTTTGTATTGCTTGAGTTATGTAAAAGGACTGACCATAAAAAATGTGAATAATAAAGTGATAAGGATATTATGTATTCTAAGTTTGCTAGTAATAATGAAAAGTTACTCATAAAATGCCATATGAAACTTTTGTCTCGTTTAAAGAATCGGTAACTACGTTATTGTAGTAACTCTAGAACGTATATTGTGTCCAAAGGACGGTGTTATTTTGAAAGGAAATGTAAAGAGTTTTTGTGACTTTTTGTTCTTTCTTACTTTGTCTGACTTCTGTACTCCCTGTGCTCAATTCATGTTCTCATTTAAATGTTCTTCTAATTGTCACTTGCAAATTCAAAGTCAGAATTTCTTTTCTCTTTCACATGACTAATGATGTGTAATGTTCAGCTGAAAAAGCTAGGTTTTTCACACCCCTGTGACTTTGTATCTCTCAACACAGGATACAAGTGTTCTGATCTCTGGGGAATAACAATTTCTGTTAATGTTGATCAAATGATTGAAGTACAGTCAGATTCCAGCCCCTTATCTCTTGCTGTGCCTATGTGTAAACTGTAGTCTGAACTGATTTTTTGAAAAGAATATACCTCTAAGTTTTGGGTTTGTGGTTAGTTTTTTGTTTTGCTTAAAAAAAAAACAAAAACAAAAAACAAAACAAAAAACCCCCCAAAATAAAACACAAACTGTTCTTAATTTAGGAAAGTAGCGAACTTAAATCTATCTTAAGAAAATGTTTGAAGATGTCTAGATAGCGTTTTAAATGGTTATTTGGTCTTATTATTTCTGTTCCCCACAAAATACTTGCTTGGTCTTTCTCCTGATAAAGTAGTAATGATACCGATGATGATAAAAAAAAAAAAAAATCAATGTTTCTTTTTGTTCCGTTGATTTTAATTTAAATTAAAATGAAAAGATCTGATCAATTAAAACTTTTTTCTAATCAGTGTTTAGTGATTCTGGCAGGCAGTCTGAATGTTATAGAAGAGTGCACTTCACTTGATTTTAATAACACTGCTTATCAAGTAAGACACTTTTTCAATGTTATAATTCTGTTTTACATTATTGGTTCTCTACTACATGCACTTATTAGTTAACTTTCATTTGGTATTTAATCGAATTATAAGATATGATCCTGTGTAGTTTGTATGGGTTTGGTTCTTATTCCAATCCAAACCAAGTCAAATTAAAAATGCACGCATGGTAGATGGAAAAGCAGAAAAGTACAATAAGTAAAGTTTGGAAATACATAATTTTAGTTTATAATGAGGTAGCATGCCTTGATAAATTTTGTGGTATTAAGAAGCTTCGTACAACATTGTGGTTTACATGCTTATAATGAGTAAAAAAGAAAAGTTCATAAATTGCACTTTTCTGGGAGTTAGCTACACACAAAGAATGTGGGCTTCAGTTTAAGTTTGCTGGTAGTAATCCTACCTTATCTCCTTTACATGGATAGACAAGCTCTGAGGGCATTACCTCTAACAGTGATGTCGATATTGTAGGATTACTGGGTTTCAGAGTTGCATTCATATCAGCAGACAGTTTTTATCTTTTATGCATTAATAAGCTGGCAAACTGTTATGCCTCTGCTGCAGAAGGCTGCCAAATAGTTACCTTCAAAGACCGGCAATAAGCATAATTTGTGAAATTATGTCCTCTACTCTCAGCCCCTAATCCTACTCTTTCAAAACAGCTTTCCTCAGCCTGGCTCAAATAAGTAGCAGTGAGTGAAGTCCAGTTAACTCATCTGGTCTCCAAACAGCACAATTAAAATAGTTTAAGCAGTTGACACAATTTAGAGAATGTCTATATATGATATAACGAAGTGTTACGAAAGAAAACATTCAAATTAATGCATGTCAAATGTAGTATAAGGCTATTGAAATAAAAAATACACCACACCTGGTATCCAAGCTGTTTCATTCAGAATGAGCTCAACTGTTAATATCTGGCAAAGCCTTTTGCTATGTAGACATTATTAAGTTCATAGTAATATGAACCAGCACTTTTTAAGAGGCTACTGTTTGTTTATGCACACCACGAAGGGACCATCCCTGTTTGTACAGATGGACACATCCTAACTAGCGGGGGGGGTGAGGGGGAGCGATGAAAGGGGAATGTATTGGGGTTCTCTTTTGTATAAGCCATTCTCTTGTTATACTTACTAGTGCCTTACTACTGTGTGTCTTTTTCTAAGTGTTCTTCTCAAATCTTCTACATCTTTCAGATATCTGTTCCGTAATAGGTCTTTTCTGAAAATCCCTGTGGTTCCTAGGCCTAGATTCTCATCACTAAGGAGTTTGAGGTTGGCCTGTTATAAGGTTGTCCTTCTCGAGCAGTATTGCGCACTTAGTGCTATTTTCTATGTTTGGATAATTGCTCTGAGGAGAATTTGCATGGTAATTGTAATGCTACCATGCAAACTGATGTCTTAATGGCTTGAGTTTGCAACTGCTTAATTTTCATTACTAATTTATGTTTCCCTGCATACAAATATGAAATCTGATATTTGTGCATTGTTGTCCTTTGGTTTACCACCTTATTATTTATGATGTTTATTTTCACTGGCAATACAGACTCTGAGCATTTATATTTGTAACATACCTTTCTGGAATATGGTTTGTAAATGACATATTATATACAGTCGTTCAGTTACTTTTATATAATATGCCTCTGGAAGCTTCTTCCTACCAACTTCACCACCATACTATTGATAATTCATATTTACCATAATGTTTTAGAGCAGTCATGTACCTGGTATACATTTACTTCTGCCACTGTACATTGCATGGTGTTAAAGGAATGCGTTTAAGACAGTTGACAGTAGTTTTTTTTTCAAGTAACTGCTTAAATTTATTTTATTATTACAGTTCAGACAAACATAAAGTATTGCATGTAACTTTGACATTGTGATGGTTCAAGTGCGATTTTGTCCAAATCAGTTTTAACTATCTCCTCTAAAAGGCCCTACATGGAAGAACCACGTCATGTTAAAGTGCAGAAGGGTTCTGAGCCACTAGGGATTTCCATTGTGAGCGGAGAAAATGGTGGAATATTTGTCTCCAAAGTAACAGGTGGGAGCATTGCCCATCAAGCTGGCCTTGAGTATGGTGATCAGTTACTAGAGGTAATTGCTTACTATTCCTGTGGATTAATGAATCAATTCATATGACTCCAGGCATAACTGCCTTCCTCAGAAGAGTATCTTGTGAAAGCCTGTGTGCTGTGAGATGTAGCAAAGGGTTCTCTGTATTGTAATATTCCAGTAATTGTGATTGTTGTGACTTTTTGACAGGCTTTATCATAAAATAATGTCTTTTGATGATAGATGTGCATTGCATCTTACATAGATATTACAAAATTGTAAATCTATACTTATATATTAATATGATTAAATTTTAAGCCAGCTGCTTGCCATACTTAAAACAATATAGTCCCAACACCATACTTTCCCTGATGCGTAAATATTGAAGCATCAGGCTTATATCAAGTTTCATATTGCTGTTGCTATGCCATATCCTCACCTGAGATACCTGGTTTCAAAAATACTCAGTCAGGCTTTAGATTAGATACAGTCATGGTATTGGCTACCGTATTAGATAAACATTTGGAGGAGCATTTTGTAAAGTACAGAGCTGTTCTGTAAATGTTAGATCTGTTTATACTTGTGTATGTTAAAGCATCTTCTGTTGTACAGTGTGTGGATGATACTGTAATGGGTCTGAATGGATCACGGATCTGAATTTGTCTTAAAACTCTGTATTTCTTCAGATCGGTGATCTGTACCAACTTGTATTTAATCACTGATACCAAATCATAACACAGCTCAGCATATATCTGTCTTTAAGTAGTAAAAAGATTTTTGAACTCATGGTCAGGTTACCAAATATTTTAAAGTTACAGTGATACCTTCCAAGGAGTAAACCCTAAGAATCAATGGACAGCAGTATTTCCATCTTCCTATTTACCACAGTGGAAATAAGTCAGCATTTAGACATTAAACTAATGATTAGACTGAAAGAATGATTTTGCTGGTTTCCATCTGAAAACTTGACATCCTGGTTTGTGCATTTTTTCCGTAGTTCAATGGAATAAATTTGAGAAATGCTACCGAGCAACAGGCTCGACTGATCATTGGACAGCAGTGTGACACCATTACTATTCTGGCTCAGTATAACCCACATATGTATCAGCTTGGCAATCATTCACGATCAAGGTAAGGCTGGCTAGACTTTGAAATAACTACTCTCTGGTCCATGCAGTTATTTAGCTAGTAGATAACTTCTGTACACGTAATATGTTTGCAAACAGCAGCAAATTTGTGCTAAGAGGTGTGTTTGCTTAGAAAAATAATATGTGAATACATGCTTGTTAAAAAGAAAAGAAAAATGCTTGATGCGCTTGCTATATTTTTTTTCTTATTTGAGCATAACCTTTGGATGCATTAAACTAAAACCAAAGATGACTTATTCCTCAGATCATGAGATTCTCGTACTTCAAATTTGTTTTAAATTTTTTTATTGTTGAAGCTTCCAAAAACTAGTTAGAGAAGGCATATGACCTAGTGAAATTATCCATCCTATTTTCATGCATGATCACACTTCAAAACTGAGCTTTATATTTCTCTTTGACTTATGGTGAACATATGGTATTTGTCATGGTGGTTTGGGTTTTGTTTTTGTTTTTTTCTTACTTTATACTTGATTTACATCCCAATTAAAAACTTTGTCTGTGTAGAGAAATATTTGGCATTGGTGAAACGGTAATTTACCAGTAATTTTTTTTTTTATCTTAGTTCTCGCCTAGAACCTGTGAGTAATCATTCTACTCCTCAAGGCAGTGGAGCTGCAACACCTGACAATCATTCCGTAATTGATACTGTGAGCGAACAGGATGAAGGAACAATGACACCCCCATCCAAACAAACCACACCAACTACAAGTCCCCGGAATTCCTTAAGGTAAAGAGTAGAATTTTTGCCTTCAGGAGAAAAAATGATCAGGGTGGATGTGAAGGTTATTAAAAACCAGAGTGTGCTTCTATGAATGCTGTGTCTGGTTGAAGTCAGCAGACAAGTTAAGTGGACCCCAGGGTAAAAGTACATGTTTTCGGGCTGGTTTTGAAAGATGGGGTCTACAAGGAGTGAAGGAAGTTTACTACAAGTTTGTTTTAGTTAAGGAAGTTTGCAAGGAACGTGGTGTTTGTCTTAAAAGACTGTATCTGCAGGTGACCCATTTTGAATAATAATTATGTAGATATGTATTCTTCAGATGGCTAGTTGATTGTATGTAATGCAAGTTTTTAAGTTGAAGTACATGTCCTTATTTCTCCTTTTCAAAAGGGGCCCTGTGGACACGAGCAAAAGGACCCCTGAACCTAGAACTGTTTTTGTTAAAAAATCCCAAGTGGACCTTGGGATCCAGATATGTGGTGGAAACCTCTATGGAATATTTGTCTCAGATGTAGATGATGATAGTCCAGCAAAAGGACCTGATGGACTAGTCTTGGGTGACATGATACTTGAGGTAAGCTGTTACGAAAAGTCTGCAGCATACTGACAAAATGTCTAGAATGGTAAGAGGGAATTGTACCAAGAATCATGCTGTCTTGGAATGGGAGGTGCTCTGTGAATCTTGAGTTCCTGCCACAAAATCTGGGTAAGAATGTTGAGAATGCATAACCTGCATTCTGGCTGCTGCACGTGAAGAGCTGGATGGTGTGGACCTGGAGAACTACCACTGTGGAGAGCACAAGTTGTCCACAAGTTTGAAGGACTAATGTATGTCCACTTGGAATTACAAACACCTGCTCTCTTCATCTAAATAGGAAGCCTTGAATCCAGTTGTTGCACGTAGGAGAAAGGCAAGGATATGACAGATAATGCAAAACAGAGAACAATATTGATCTTATCCTTATGAAATGCTAATGAGAGTTTAGGGGAAGCCATGTAATATGTCTTTGACTCAGCTTTCTACATATGTAACGAGGGTGTTTATCTGCTTGGCAAGACTGTTAAGGTGATAAACACATACATGTTTATGAGCATTTCAGATACAACTGAGCATTGAGACTGAGCACTGAGACTCTCCCATTGTGTCTCCAGTATCCAGATGGAGATTTTGCTTTGCAGTTGTGTGTTTGACTTTCCTCAAACCACTTGCTTTCCTTGAAAATACTCTTTTTTCCAGTGTGAATTTTATGTTTCTCAGCTTACGCTTCAAAAACTATTTTAAAAAGTGTAGACTCTCTGTGCACATCTGTTGTGTTCATTGGGTATTTTGTTTTCCACTCCCATGTTTCAATCTCCTGTTAGACATCTTAAAGTGCAAACTGTATATTAGAGTTAAATGGCAAGATTTACTTGTATACTGGGCCTGCCAGTGGGGAAACCAAACTTATTTTGAATATTTTTCAAGCTCACCTAATTCTATTGCCTGTTAAGATACAATTTCACACCTAGGGGTTTGTGGTTTGTGTTTTGCAGTATGGGTCCATTGATATGCGAAATAAAACAGCCGAGGAAGCTTATCTTGAAATGTTGAAGCCTGGAGAAAACATCAAAATAAAGACTCAATACAGAATAGAAGAGTTTAATAAGATAAAAGAGCTTCCTGGAGATGGATTCTATATCAGGTATTTGAGCATGACTGGTAATGACAGCCTAAGGCTTTTAGGGTAATATGCTGACCATTGTGAGAGAGCTAATACATCAGTTTTACCACATTTTTTAAATTCAGAGTTTAATAGTATATTCCAGTTAGTCTCTGACAGCAAGTACACAATCTGTAGCATAGTAAGTCTGCATGTTTTGCTGTAAACTTGTGTGCTCTTGAAATGTAGAGTGTGCCACTAATCTGTTAACTTTTTTCAAAATAAGTATGCATGCTCATCCTTCGAGTTGATGGAGATCAGTTTCAGAGCCTATTTATGTCTGTCTTTACAGAGCACTTTATGACCGTCTGGCAGAGGTGGAACAGGATTTAAGCTTTAAGAAGGATGACATTTTGTATGTTGATGATACTCTACCGCAGGGGAACTTTGGTTGCTGGATGGCTTGGCAACTAGATGAGAATGCTCAGAAACTGGAAAGAGGACAGATTCCAAGTAAATATATGTGAGTAACCTCAGCTACAGTGTTTTCCTTACTGTCTTTAAAAGTCTGACTAGTGAGATGTGGTATAAAAGACATGTTTTCTTCTCTTGTTTCTGGGAGATGCTACTACTTAGACATGTCACTTGAGGGATGGCAAGTTTTAATAACATTGAGTTAAATACATTGCTATATCAAGTTGTTTTTAGTGCTACAAAAAAGTAAACTAGAAATGGAAATGATATGTAGACCAGTGTTGTGATCAATAATTCAGTAACAAAAGTGAGAGTGACCACGGCAAAACTATCCTTCAATCCAAGGATATCACAGTCATTCTTGGGAAGCATCAGTGTTTTTAGTTATCTGTGGACAGCAGCATTATTATAAGACTGTATCTACCACAATCTATTAATGTTGGTAGAGTGATTAAGAGGAGTATGCAGCAACTAAAATTTTAACATGGTTACTGAAATCACATTAGTTACCACTCAGCGATTAAAATACTTTTTTTTAAGATTGCTGTTTTTCTGGTTACCTTTTCTTTTAATAGTCTTCTCTCCATGTTGTAACTCAAGAGTCATCCTGACAGTGAGACAAGGGTAATGTGTGATGTGTGGAAGTACAATATATACACATGGACCCATACACATCATTGATAGGCTTGCTACTGGAAGATGGCTAGTAAAACCAACTACATTTTACATGTGTTATGTGGCCAAAATATTTGTATTCATATAAAATAAAACTGTTACTTTGGATTGCTAATAAGTTATTTGTAAGGATGAGTATAACATGCAGCTTCATAGAAAGGGTGCAATCTTCACTTCTGTGTGAGGCTGATTTTACAGGCAAGTAGATGCATACTGCTGCTTCTGGCTTGGAGAAATTTGTCCTGCCTGTCATCGTGGGTGTGCTATTTATATTGTAAGAATCCTGAGGAAATCATGTATGGGGTTTTCAGATGCTTACTACTTCTTTCTTTCTGATTTAATTTTCTGTGATGAAGATACTCTGGCTGAGGCTTGAGACAGGTATTTCCATTGTGTTTCAGAAGCAGCAGTGATATTCTCTGTAGAAAAAAAAATAAAAGATAAGTTTAAATACCAACCATTTAGTCTGTTTCATTATAGGATGGATCAGGAATTCTACAGGAGACACAGCATGTCTGAGGCTAAAGATGAAAACAGCTCATCTAAGACATTGTCAGCAGCAGCACGGAGGTCATTCTTCAGAAGAAAGCATAAACACAAGCGAAGTGGTTCCAAAGATGGAAAGGATTTACTGGCTCTTGATACAATCAGTACAGACTCAATTCCTTTCTTAGATGGCAAGTACCTTTGTTATACTGGGAAGGGGGTTGCCTTTCATTCTCTTTTATTGTTAAATAGCTGCAGCATGACACAACGATGAGTGTTGCTTTCTGGTTGGTCTCACTACAAATGGTGATCATATGTCCTATCACATACAGTACCTTTAATAACAACATTTTTTATATTAAATATCAAGCCAGAGTGTTTCAAATTAAATTTTTTTTGGCGGTTTATTCCTGGATCTGTTAACACTAATATTTCACTTGCAGAAAGAGATTGCTTTTTGATTCATGGTTTTGGTCTTCCTTTCAACTATGTAATTTCTGTCCAGGTCACTTAGTCTAGACAGAAATCCTGGGCACCACTCAAATATCTTCACTTCAGTTTCTTCGCTCCTCTGCAAAAGTCATGTTGGTTATAGTACTTACTTGCTAGGAAGAAATCAACAAATGAAGCCAGGGAAACCAAATACTGTGTCTTGTTTACATTTTATGGAAAAAAAAAGAATGATCAGCTTTAAAGTTGGGTTGAGGGTGGGGAGGAGAAGCAGCAGGTTCTATTTTCAACTGTCAAGTGGAGAAAATTACAATAATGACTACTGAGCATTTCTTGTACTTGTCAAGGCCCTTATCTCTTGCAAGGGCGTTGTTTTCATAATTACTTAGGGTGCTTCTGTTTATCTGAGGAATACCAGGAAAGTGATTTACACTTTTATAAGTAAATCTTCTGTGTGTAGATTCTGCAAGTCTGGCATATCAGCGTGTACAGAAAGTGGACTGTACCTCTCCTAGGCCTGTCCTTATTCTAGGACCTTTACTTGATGCTGTGAAAGACATGTTGGTCAAGGAATCCCCTGGAAAATTTTGCAGATGTCCTCTTGGTAAGTATGCAAATATAACCAATTTATTCTTGCTTAGAAATCATGATAGTGACATCTATATATGTGAACTAAATGGTAATGCAAACACGGAAAAACCTCCAAGAATCTGTGTTTGCAGACATTGTTTCATTACCCTTGTTCTGTGCCTAAGGAGTAATAATGGAAGTGGGTCTCTTCTGGTTCTATGAAACAGAGGTTATGAAAGCTTCCCAACAAGCCATTGAACGGGGTGTGAAGGATTGTCTGTTTATCGATTATAAACGGAGGAGTGGACATTTTGATGTGACAACTGTAGCTTCAATAAAAGAGATAACAGAAAAGGTGAGTCACTTATAATGCTGTAGTTCCTTGTACAATTTGCAATATATGGTCATGCTAAGTTGGGGGGAATGGAAATTATGTTAGTATTGTCCTCCTTTAAGGAATTCAGAGAATTGTTCCCCAGGACACTGAGTAAAATAAAAGTTACCTCACTTTGGCATGTAACTGTTTCAAGATTATTTTATGCAAGCTCACCTTTGTAGAAACTAGGAATGTTAATATTCTTTTACGGTATTCTTAAATAAAGTTAGAAATTATTTTCTGAGATTCCATAGATTCCACCCTTCACCCTCACAAATGAGGATCTAGCTTTTATAACTATTCACTTTAATGCAGTCATATAGAACATAAACATCATCATAATACTGGAGACAGATGTTAATTAAAAGCTGTACATTGCTTATAGTTTTCCATCAAACCACACAGAAAGTCTTATTACTTTAACGCTTGTGTTTGCTTATGATTTCTGAAAGAGAAAATTAGTATTTAAACTTGGAAAAAATATTGCATATATTTCAGTCTGAGTTTTCATTTCATTAGTTCTTCAAATACTTTTATTTCTGTTAGTGCATACTTTTGGTACTATGAATGGAATTTCTTGCAGTTTTTCATTTTCTGTCATTTGTTACAAATCCTTTGGGTACAAATTGCTCAGTAGTCCCAAAATGTTAAATGTTTAGTAAAATTCTGTTGGGTTGCTATGATTTAAGTAAGGGAAGAAATGGGGGATTTGCATGTGTGCTTGTGCTCTTTAACTGAATGAGTGTTTTGCATTTACATTTGATCTTAGGATTGTCATTGTCTGCTTGACATCGCTCCTCATGCCATCGAACGGCTCCACAGTGTTCATATCTACCCTATTGTAATTTTTATTCGCTACAAAAATGCTAAACAAATCAAGTAAGTCTGTGAGGGGTATAGTTCAGGGATGTTTAATTTAGCTTAAAATAAGCTTGTTACCTTTATTGTTTTGTTCATCCTAGTCATCTTAAATCTTTAAAATATGGAAATTAATCCTCCTAAAAACTGCTGTGAGGTAAATGGTCTTAACTTCATTTTGATTGCATGTCAATTAAGTGAATCTTTCAAAGAAATCAAACAATGTAGACTAAACTGTATGTACTTCAGAAGGCACTCAGATCTTTCCTGCTCACCTTCGTATTAAACCATAAGACAGATATGGGTGAGATCCATTGAGGATTAAGTGGTGACTGTGACAAAGAGCTGTTCTTACATCTTCTCAGCGGGTCCAAGTGTGTGGATGCAGTGCCAATTGAGCTGTAACCTCAGCTTTCCCACCTTCATTCTTGAGTGAAAACAGCAAGGAAAGTCCCCTTTGGCCATGGAATGTATATACTGTGGTCTTCCCAGACTGTGCTGTTTCAGTAATTGGGAGTTTTCTGCTCACATATAGCCAGGAACAGAACATGGGAGTTACAAACCCCTGTCCCTCCTCTAATGTTTGAGTAAGTCTTCACGCATTTTAATACATAGATTTGGCAAGAAGTGACATAATCTCCCAGTGTAAGTTTTAAGGAACAGGTTTTTTGAGAGATCTTACGCTATCTTAATTTTGAAAGTTGAAGACTTATTATATTCTTGATCTGTGGGTAAGTTTGATGACTATCTATTTAATAAATAAGATAAGCATCACCACTTTCAAGTATAAGCAAGACATGAAGTAATGTGGTGTATTTCATTACCAGTGTAGGATCATGCACTTGAATGGTAAATGTAACTGTCATGTCTTGAGCCCCTTTGGAAATGGAATAGTGACCATTACTGCTATTTCCTTTTTTTGTAAAGTGCTAGAGAGAGATTGAACTAGACGAGCAAGGATTTCTAGCAGTCACTGAAATAAGATGCAGTGGCACATTGTCTCTGACCTTTATGAGCACCAAAGGTTTTTCCAAACAGCCTTTTTGATCTAGCACAGGTTCTGTTGGCATTCTCTGAATTGCAACACAGCAGTGATAGGCTAGTTTAGTACTGATTTTTTTTTTTTTGTATTATTGTTTATAAAACAAAATTGTGCTTCTTTCCTCAATGCTATAAGAAACTATGATTATATTGTTTCAGTACCTCTAGCTACCAAAACGAACATGAACTCTATTCCAGCCCGAACCAGGACAGTGGCCTTATTAGTTGATTATAAATTCTGCTTCCTTTTAAGTAGAATCCCCTAATGGGGATCCCAATTCAGATTTGGAAGAGTGTGTTACAAGCCTTGACTGGAATTAAAAAATGGGGTTTTTTACTATTTGTATTTGTCTATATTTTTTTTTTCATTTTATTTCCAACAGTTTGTATAATAAAAAAACCAATCATCTCAAAAATGTGTCATATATAAGATGACACAGAAACAATACATTTGCTCAATGCTTGATACCTCAAGCCCCTGAAAGAGCGGTACTTGAGCCCAGCTTTGCGTAGGGATTGCTGGAATGTATATGAGATGATGATCTGATTCACATGATCTGGAAAAAATTATATCCTTTCTCCCTCAACCCCCTCCCAATCTCTGACACTTTAAAGAAATACTGTCTTGGCTTGATAGCAAGTGAATTTGTTAGCAGTGAAATCATCCTTATGACTAGGCTGATACTGCTTAAACACAGTAGATGGCACTCTATGCACAGGTTTATGTTTAGAAATTAATTAGCATTTCACATTCACCCAACTGGAGGTAATCATTTCAAGTCCATTAAAAAAAAAAAAAAAGTACTCTTATACAAGGTCTTTCTTTTCTTCTTTCTATTTTTGCAGAGAGCAAAAAGACCCAATCTTCCTGAGGGATAAAGTTACACAAAAACATTCCAAAGAACAGTTTGAGACAGCTCAAAAAATAGAACAAGAGTATAGCAAGTACTTTACAGGTTAGTATTTAATCAACATTTCACTAGGAACACAGTGACAATTAAATCCATTTACACTGTAATTCAAAAGATCCTATGTGCCTTCAGAGAGCATTTTTTTTTTTCCTTTCTGCCTTCCCTTTTGTCAAACTCATGCTCTGGTGTTTTGTTTTACAGGAAGAGAAAATACCAAGATATAAGTACTATCCCTTGCTTTTACATGTTGGTGTTTTAGAACGTTATGAATCTTATGACCTAAAGAGATTCTGAAAATGTCTTATTACAAGCCAGTAGCATTGGAAGTATGGTCAAGATAATTTGACACAGTGTTGTCAGTTTTATAGCATGTAAGGAATTGAAGTTGTTTTGTAATTGTGAAAACCAAACAAAACAAAACCAAACCAAACAAAACCCAAACAAAACAACAAAAAATGCCAGTAGTGTGAATTAATGAATGATTTGTGACACATACTTTAAAACTTTCAAGAAAGAAAAAAACTTGTCAAAGGTTTCTTGAGCATGCGTTATAATTTGGAATAATTAAGTTTAACTTCAGAGGCCTTTTTAAAATCATAAAGCATATTATATGAATCTTGGGTTGCAGTTAATACTGTATTTTTATCGGAGAAAGAAAACTCTGAAGACTGTCTCTGCTTATTTCAGAGTATATTTTTATGTGATTCCATGTACATTCAGAAGAGTGGAGATAAAATTCTAGCCATCTTGATGTGAACAGAACTAAAAAAGAAAAAAACAAACTAAACTGAGAAAAACAACCAGCCGAAACTCAACTTTTCATCCCCCAAACAATGGGATTCCTACAGAAATAGAGGCATACCTGCCAAGTACAGGAAAGGGAAGAAGAATGTATTTAGTAAAAAGCTATATCAGCACATCCTGAGAGAAGCTACATGTTCTCAATAAAATCAGTTATCTGGCATGTCATAGCCATACAAATATTTATTTAAGTGGTACATACTAAACCTTCACAGAACTTTACATGCTCATGGCCAGATTGTATCGCCACATGTTATCTTCTGCTTCTTGTTAAGTCATTTGTTGCATTTCAATTTCACCCTGATAGTGAAAGTAGCACTCAGTCCAAGAGAGTCCTATGTGTATCTTCCCACATCCCCTGTGCAAAGGGCCTCTCTCTTAGTGCCAAGTACAGTGGACTCCAGCTGTCATCAACATTTCCAGATGCTGGTAGTCAGGGAGGATTGGTGTTCAAACTGCACTGGCATTTAAGCTTGTTGCAATTATAATATTGTGCATAAAATAAGCCTGTAGATAAGCATGTGGGACATAGTAGCATTCTCATGGAGCTATGATACGCTCTCTCAGAACTGAGCTTTGTGACTACTTCATGAAGTAAGTTTTTTGACTAATGACTCTTTCAAGGTGGCTTTGTTTCCTGTACCAAGTTGTGAGCACGACGTCAGTGTGTCATCTGAATCACTTCCTCATTGCCATTTGTCGCCTTTCATAGACCTTGCTGGTTATTGCATTCTGTATTCAAACTCACTGGACATTGCTATCTGTAGTATATACTGCAGAGTCAAGTAATATTTTACGTGAGATCACATTCTTTCTTTTCAAAAATTGAAATTATACCTGAAGACTTGCCATATTTTTCCAGCCTTAGTGGTAGCACAGGCCATAAGCTTTGCGGTCATGTTTCTCAAGTCATGAAGTTCCTCACTTTTTAAGTCTTATATCTAATGCATTCTCCCGTGTCAATGTTGGCATTTTACTTTTTATGACTGTTATGTTTAGCAAAGGTAGAATGCAAGGTGTTCATTTATCTTTTGACTTGATTGTCAGAGGGTTGCTTGGTGTTGGCATTTTGTGCCTTGAATGTAGTTGTCAGTAAGAATTGGAGTAGGTTTTATTTAGCTCAACGTTCTGTGAGCTGCCTAATCATTTACTTGTAATATTTGTAAGTAGTGTCTAGTTGCGACAACTATAGTATCTATGTATATTATCATATAAAACTCTTAACACCACATGTCGAACAGAGAAGGTTTATTATAGCAGGTTCTGACCATTCTTAGACTTAAACTTTGCCACCTGATGCCTCTGAAAATAGTGCATGGAGGCCTCTAACAAAACAGTTGTCTTAACTGATTATAGAGTTCTGTGATTTCCCTGGGGTGTTTTAAGAGCTAGCAGAAGAAACTGTATATTGAATGTTTGACCTCTTTGCTCTGTTTATTCTTTTTCTTGTTTTAATAGAGTCTTGCATCTGGCAAATATTGAATTGAGTAGATTAATTCTCAACTGTTGATAAACACTTTGCAGAAAAATGTAGAAGACTGCTCGTTCTAATTAGTCATAACTTTGTTCCAGTCTCATTTGTGTGTGTGTGGGGGGGGATGTTCTTTTTCTCCAGGCATTGTCCAAGGAGGAGCCCTTTCAAGCATTTGCACTCAGATTATGACAACTGTCGATCAAGAACAAAACAAAGTCCTGTGGATCCCAGCTGGCCCGCTGTAGATTTATTTTGCTGTGAAACTACTTTGCAGGTGTAAATAACCAACTAACTTTCTATCCAATGGACTCTGTTCATTTCTGTCTTTATAAAGATATCCATAAGTGATTTCTGTTTTATGAAGGGGAATGATAACACTGAACATCCAATGACCTGACGAGGCATGTGGGAAGGGGTAGATCACTTCACCGAGCTTGTCTCTTACATCGTACATGTACACGTGACAGCTTGTCACGAGGGGTTGTGACCTGTGTGTACTTGTCCATGAGTAATGAATTTAACAATGCTGCAAAATCCTGTAGAATGACAAGTTTACAAAAACCTTTTCAAAGTATTTGGTTGTTGCTGTTTACTTGAATGTCTCTTTTTTTTTGTTTGTTTGTTTGTTTTTTTTAACTCTGTGTCCTTTCACTTAATGAGGTAACTCTCCAAAACAGAGTGAAATTTCTGAACATGAGTGAATGGTTTATGCGCAATGTGACTCTTAGTTGCAATTTTGAACATATCTGAGCACATTGTTCACTTGACAACCAGGTAATAACGTGGGATTGAATTGGTACGTCTTGGGAGTAAGCTCAGAAGGAAGTACACTCCTCTACAGGGCAGACCACTGTTTGTATCCTGTCAATGCTTGTCTGTCAAAGATATCGTTTCTTGTTTTATGCATGAATCTAATATTTAAACGTCATAATATATCTGAACAATCCAAGCTTAATGTGTGTTGAGAAATAATTCTTGGTTGTTGGGCCTGGATTAAGTACTGGTGGGGAAGAGTCATAAGCTAGGCCTAGCATGCTTTGTTCTGTCACTTTTTAGATACTGTAAATATGGAAAGCTTCTGTCAGTGCAATTTTGCAGGGTAATTCTTAAGCTTTGTACTTCAGTGTGTAGCATTCACATAGATTGTTTTTATTTAAGAGCAGCCACAGTTTTAGGGCTTTGATTAAAAGCCTTTAGAAAGGTACTGAATTGTTAGTGTTTTCACTGTTAAAAAATAAGTGATCATTTAGTTTTGGTTGCAATACTTATTTACCTGTTGTACCAAACTCCATTGTATCAGTTCCCTTTTTGTTTTTTGCACTTCTGACTCTGTGTTCTTAACACAGGTTTTGTACCTGTCTCTTCTGTCTTTTGTGCCATGTTTCTTGGGTACTGTATTTTAGTTGTTTATAGAATATCATTTGAGTAGAACTGCTTCTCAGTCACTGTTACTAACATTTCATTGTGTAGGGTTTCTAGTCTTACACTACAGGCTGTAGTTTTGCTTCTATTTGCAGCTTTTTTAATTAAAAAAAAGGGATTCTTCTTGCACAGTTCTTCAAAGAAAGATCTGGTCCTAAATTTAAATTCTGTTTTACATGATGCTATTTTATAGTTCAGAATACTTTATATAGTATTTATATAGTTACATACTATAGAGAGAGTATTTTGAACTATAACACATAAAAATATATATATATAGTATTATATCATACTATTATAATACTGTATATATACAAATCAAAAAATAGGAAATGGTATGGATGACTTACTAGTCAAAGTACTTCTCATGGTGAGGGACAGCAGTTTTTTTTTGTTTATCTTATTTTTTTTGTTTGTTTGTTTTTTAAAGTTTGAGGTCAGAGTTAGACTCCAGTGGTACAATTGAAACAGACAGGTACTGTTCTGACATGGATTTTCTGTACTAAAATGAAAATGTCACTTTGTATCAAAAAAGAAAAGTTAAAGAAACTGATTACTAAATAAAGGTCAATTTCTATAACTTGACTTGCGTGTAAAAGGTGGTAAAGCTAATGTTCTCTTTGACTCTGTTTAGCTGATTCCTCATATAAGGTTTTATTTTCTGACGAAAATTGGCACATATAGGTTCGAGTGCCCACCTATGACAGGAACAAGTTTTGGTTTTTTGTTTTTGCTCAGCCTTGCATGCATAAATACCAAAGACATTCAGAAACTGCAGGACCCAAGAAGTTGGTTTCTGTTAAATATATGTTTTTAACCTTCTAGCCCAATGTTGTTAAGGATTTCAAGCTAAAATGCAACTGGTTGGGTGGAGGCTTTAACTTGAGAATGAGTCTGTCACTGTTACTTTGAAGAGTGTCAATGGAAACCAGGGAAAACATAATAGGCAAAATCATGAATCACGAGTTTTAAGTCAGACAGACCAGCCTCTTCTGTTCACTGAACTATCTGAAAGCTTGGGGAAGGTAATTGTTGTGTATTAACTCTTCTGCTTCATTAGTTGCTTTATTTTCAGATGCCAAATAGTCAACTTCAACATGAACCAAATTGGTGGATGGTCGGTTTTATAACCTGCATACCTAGTGCTAGCCTTCAGTCATATGACAGGAGTTGCACCTTACCTGCTTCTCTTGAAAAAAACCCCACCATGGTGCCATCTTCTAGCAGAGGATGAAGAAAATAAGAATAGGCAGGTGCTGGCAGGTCAGTAACAGCCATACCTTTCATATCTTCTGATCACAAGGAAGTAGAACTGAAGTCTTGGTTAATCAGTAGAAAGATTCATTTAGCTCAGATCAAGAGTTTCCCAATATATCATTTTGTTTTATAATACTACATGCTGGAGCTGGATTTTGCTGTTGTTCTGAAAAGAGTAACTTTGTCTAGGTGTTTAAATAAAGAATGTGGTTCTGTGGGTATTTTAAAAATAGTTTAATATAGCTAGGCAACAAAAGTCTGAAAATTTCACTCTTGTTCTCATAAGCCACCATGCAGCATGTATGGCTGCAGATAATACATTATTTAGAAATCAGCATCTTTTAGCTGCTTTTCTCCATAGCTAAACTGACATAAAATGGCTGAAGATACTGCAGCCCATACGTATGATCTGTTAAGATATTGACAAGCATCTGCTTGCTTTCAAACCTTTGCATCCTGTTCACATTGACCTGAATTGCAGGGCAAGTGTTTGCTAGATCTGGAATTACACTCTGACAGGTACCAACCTTTCCACCTCAGACAACGGTTCTTTTTCAGTGTTTGATATGTTGGGAGGCCATAACGTAATCCCTTTCAGCAAATACAAACATTGCCTTAGACAGTCTTCAACAGCTTTCCTAGATGCATCTCGGATAGATGTATTCATAGTTGAAGTACAGTCTTGTAATCTTTTCTAGGCTTATGTTTAAGGTTCAGTTCAGTTTATAAGATTCTACACCTCCATTTCACAGTGGACAGTTTCTTTTAAAATATATTGACATAGGGAAAATGTGCACTGGCTTGGAAACTAAAGAGGCTTCTGGAAAAGTACAGATACCAAACAAGGCAGACTGGTTTTGTGCAATGTCTAATAAAGATCCCAGATCTGCAGTAGAAACCGAACCCTATTAAAAAAGGTGCTTAGCCTCTTCCTATAAATTTTCTTATGGCTGCTGTGTCAGTGTTTGTAAGGCTTTCTTACTAATTTGGATGTTTTTAAAGAGATTTTTTTTTTTTCCAAACCTAATTCTGTGTCATTTCGTTTAGAAAATGTCTTGGTGTTCTTCACTGAAAAAGTACATTTTTGATGAACGTTTAGTAGCACACTTTTTAACTATTCAATTTGTCTTCTTTCTGCCTTAGTGTTCAAATCGATGCTTTTGCTGGCACAACCCAAATGGTCTGAGAACCCAAACACCAGGTGAATTAGGGGATCCTATAACTTAAGTGTAAACATACTAGTTTAATATGGGATTGTTCAACTCCATTTTAACAAACAATTCCTTACAAGATTTTGTAAAAATGGTTGTTTATTACATTATAAATAATTCTAGATGAATGTTTAAAAGTTGTCTAGATGGATCCTTTTCTTGAAGTAAACTGTGCATAAAAAGCATACTGTGACTAAAATAATTCAAAACCATTTTCAGTACAGGAAGTTATCTTGTAGACCTCCACTACAGAAAAGGTTTTAAATTTTTTTTATATTGTGTTTTTCATCTTGTAGCTTAGTTTAATACTCTTCACTGTTTTTAAAGTTATCCTGATTTCAGTAGATGCCATTCAAGTAAGCAGTTGTAATTGATTTTCTTCTATGAAATGCACGTGTTAAAGATGCAGTGAGTTTTTTTTTTTTCTCCTATGTGTAAAGTATGGAATTCCAGATGATTTTTACACACATGTTTTTAAAATATGAGTCTTTTTTTCTAAAAATGTGGGAGTGAAAATGGCAGAGATCTAATATTTGTCCGAAGAAGCAAATCACCAAAATCTCTGTACTATGTAACATAGTCACTTCATATTATGGTGAATTATCTGTCATTGCTATGTTTTATTAACAGTACGTTACAGTTAAATGTGTGTGTTCACTGGGTTATTTTCTTTGTCTGTCATATTGAAGGATATAACACCAGTGGCTGAGGAAGCTTTCAAAGATACGGTATCTTGATTTATGACTATTTCCTATGCTTTTGTTCAAGAGTTAGAATACTACTTCTCCTGCCTAAGAAACACAACCATCCCAAAACCAAAATAGCACACCCACCCCAAACCCAACACACAAAACAAAACAACCCCTCCCCCCCCAAACCTCACTTCCTAAGTGTCCAGTTTGGCCTTTCTTATGATTTTGGGTCCTTCCCATCTTCCTAAAGATCTGTCAAAAGCTTAGAAAACAAAGACAACAGTTTACTCTCAATCCATGTAGCTACTGTGTATTTAACAATATACTGATGTCTCCAAAATTGGAAAGAAGTCTGTCAAAATGTTAAATAGTTTCAACAGCTTGAAAACAATACCTATCTGTTTCTTGATAAGATTTCACATATATTTGCAATGGCTTTTTTCCTTTAAAGTTTTTTTCAGTGCAAATCTGAACAACATTTCTTATGTAATTTTCCCTGTGCCCTTCCTCCAAAGGCAGGGGCTGATTAGCTTTCTGAAGATGGTGATGTTGATCTTCAGAGGAAGTGACCCCTTTCCAACAATTTTGCATCTGGTTTTGCTGCAGATTCATCTTATCTCGTTGGCAATAATGCCAATAAATTAAAATCATCATAATTCCTTCATTTGCCAAATCTGCCTGCTCCACAAATGTTAATCATTTGAGTTTAGCATTTAGGTGCTCAAATCCTCTAATTGTTTAACATAATAAAGACAATATTTGTGGCCCACCTGTGACAAACCTAAGGTTTTAGGTTTCGAGCTTGTCTGATGTTTAGCTAGTGTAAGCAGAAAAAGGCTGAAAATGCATTACTTCATCTAAATATGTGCAAGGAGTCTAAACATGATTGTAAGTCTTATGGTTCTGTGATGAAAATAACTGTTAGTTACAGCATTTTGAGAGGATAATTCCAGTGGAATCAGCCAAAAGATCCTGAGGTAAGAGATAGAAACTTGTTCTCTGCTGTGAAGATATGATTTGAGAGTGCTAGCAATTGCTTGCATCATTATAGTAACAAGTAGGTTTGTGATGCAAAGATGAGTAACTGCAATCACTGAAGAAACCCAACACATGTAGCTGAATTCCAGATCGGTGATACAAGCTGCATGTAGTCAGCAACCTTTAAGGTTGGTCCCATGGTTGGAAATGTGTTATCACTTATATCTGGGGTTGGCTGTACTGTGTGGCCTTGCGGAACTTCTGGATGCAAATGTGTTTCTAACATTCAAATGAATACTCATACTTTTATGCCCTGACTCTTACTGTAGTAAAAAATGTGTGGTTAATAGCCGCATTTATAGTGTGATCTGTTGAGACCCGCTCTGACTGATTTGCAGTTCAGTTATTTAGAAATAATTTTTCAGGGTGTTACCACATATTTTGTGCCAGAGTGATTATTTTGCAGCTGCAAAATAATTCAAATGAAGTTGTGAAAATGAATTGCATATCCTCCTCCTCTTCCTCCTGGCCTTACATGGAAGAGTTTCCCTCAGAGCTGCAAGATTGGAACTCCACGAGACTTGAATTTCGATCTGATGCTGACACTGCTCTGTTGTTCTGCACGAGACATGATCAGAGCTGTCTCCTGCCAGCAAGGAAGTGTTGGGGCTGCACTGGCTTCAGTCCACAGCTGTGCTCCTCCATGGGACACTTTGTAATGCTTCAGTCTTTGCATAAGTTAACTGTAGGGAGATGCTTCCAGTCCTGGTTCCACATGGCAGTTCGGTGCCTTCTGGAACTCAGAAGGGGTTTCTGATCAGCAATTGCTGCTGCTTTTTTCCATTCAGTTGTCCCTTTTCTACTGTGTAACCGTACACAGATGCATAGTTTTGGTGAGCGCTCCATGAAATTTTTCTCAGAACAGTAGTGAGCTTCTAGTTATGTGAGAACTATATTATGGATACATCACAAGTCTTCCCATTCTTTTACTGTTATATTCAGCTTTCGTTTCTCTTTGTTTCATAGTCTTGCTACCATTAGCAAATATATCTTCTTTCAAGGTGTCTCTCCCATTCAGTGCAGCCTTCCTGTTTGCCCCATTTCCTTGCTTCACACTTCACTTGTGTCATTGCTCCTCAACTCCTTGCACATCTAAACTCTCAAAGATATTTTTTCCATTGCTGATTCAACCTAATCTCTCTCTTCCTCACCCTGTTATCTAATACTAAAGTATTTCGGGACATTATGTAAAGTCTGATTGTTTCATAAAGCATACTGTGCAGTTGTGTATTAATTACTGATTTGATTCTACATGCTTGTTGTACTCACTGTTGATGATCTCGTGAACAGCAGCGGCTGATCCACTCCAGCATTCAGCCGCCTGCAATTTCAGATAATGTTTTAGCAATGATTCCACGTCTGCAGTTTCTGAAAGTGATGCCTTACT